CGTGCTATCGTGGGTGCCATTTTGTTTATAAGTTAGAGTGGGAACCTCAGCACAAGGCTACAAAACTTCTGGCGTTTCCCCTGATCGGCTGCACCGATCAGATTTTTCCCGCCATTTTGACTGGATCATCTCATGTCCTTGGCTACCACCGCTGACCAAAAAAATTGTGGTCATTCATACACGGAGCTCTATGGTGGAATGTTGAAGGTAGGTGTGTGATTTTTTCGCATTTTGTATGCAATTTCGACATTCCTGGAGTCATCGATAAACAATCACGACATTTTCTTGCCAAACAATCATGACCAAAAAAATTGTGGTCATCCATACACGGAGCTCTATGGTGGAATGTTGAAGGTAGGTGTGTGATTTTTTCGCATTTTGTATGCAATTTCGACATTCCTGGAGTCATCGATAAACAATCACGACATTTTCTTGCCAAACAATCACACACCTTACATTCAACATTCTACCATACAGTTCCGTGTATGGTGACCACAATTTTTTTGGCCAGCGGTGGTAGCCAAGGACATGAGATGATACAGTCAAAATGGCGAAATAATCTGATCGGTCGATCAGAGGAAAAGACCGTAAGTTTTGTAGCCTTGTGCCGAGGTCCCTACTCTAACTTAGAAACAAAATGGATTCCACAATAGCACACGGGAGAATTAACATTTCTAGTGGCACTTTTTGAAGATTCAGTCAAATGTTTGTAGCATGAAATGCCACTTTGATGGCGACCTCTTAAGTCGCACCAGGTATTTATTGTTTTCATCCTTTCTTAATCTAGTTAGAGGGGTCCAGAAGGGGGTCCAAAAGGGGGTCCAGAAGGGGGTCCAGAAGGGGGTCCAAAAGGGGGTCCAGACATAGCAAAGATGGCGGATTTCAATTTGAAAATGCCGATTTTTGGAACGTAATTGTTCGCAGCTAAAACTTTTTCTAGACCGTACTTTCCCTTTAAATACTACCGACTTGCAAAGCCTTGACCTCGTGTCTCACAAAGGTGCCTGTGCCACACAAAAAACCTGCCGCGCAGGTCGCCTTTTTGCGGAAAGTTCCTACTATTGACTTTCACTGCGGACTAATTTTTTACGTTGCAGTGTGTAAGAGGAAATAAAATATTTCGTTGTCCAGTCAATCATTCATGAAATCAGTCAGAATATTGATTACATCGAACAGTCTTTTCATTTTCATTGACTGACTTCGTCTCGATCACTTCGATTTCAAGTGCTAACTGTATGGACAGAGGAAAGATGCGGAAAAATTAATAGGCTTGTGGAGCTAAGGTTTTTCCGAAAAAATCAATACTTTTGTGGAAAAAGTTATCATAGGAAAAAATGTTCTTTCCTTGGATTTGTGGAATATTTTTTCGTTAATTTTTAGGTGTTTTTGTTTCTTCCGGCTCCTCCCTGACGTATATATCACATAAACATGTCAAACCTGGTCTAACTAATTCATTTACTAGATATAGGTAAAGTTTACTTCCCGGCTAACACTGGAACATTCCTATCTCTTAAACTCAGTTCATGATTATCCTTTATCAAACTTTGGAATTATTATGGGCTGTATGCTCTCTAGTTGAAGGATGCAGATAACTTAGAGCTGTACACCAAACCCGCGCTCTTGATTCAGTTTCATTTTGTTTACTTTTCAATTCAAATAGTTTAACCAGCCGTAAGTGGAGAAAATTGTTTTCTTTTGAGGAATTATTGAAATATGATCCATAAAATGACAGCTGGAGGACTTACAAATAAGTTATGAAAACTTTCATCAGCGACCTTTTCATCACAACGAACGAGTTTGTTTGTAAGTAGCAAAGAAGTACAGCAGTGGGTTGTCTCTTTGAACTGTTATACCAATTGTTTAATTTCATTCAATTCATCCACATTTCAGATAGCAATTGGCCTTTTTTTCCAGGTTGGTCAAGATGTATATAGACAGTAGAGTAGGAATAACACTGGGTAATACTCAGAAATGAAGTGCTTCATAAAACAGTGGCAGAAATTTGGACGTATTTTCTTCCTTTCCCGCCAGCGTTCTTTCATTGCAGGTGATTTTGATAGCTGTTATGTGACTCTTTTTTCAATTCTAACTGTCATGGTCGTGTAAGGTTAAATGTGTTGAGAAGGACAATCCTGAGCTAAGGGAGTATATTTCACAAAGATGAAGCTGTCTTTACACTCGATTTGAATTTGTCGTTAGGATATGAATTGTATTACGAACTAAACATGCAGTGACGATGTATGCAAGATTTCCTCTACACTGAATCAGATTCAGTTTTGAGTCCCTATAAGTTAGAATAAGGTTTTTTGTGGAAAATGATGTACTTTTTCTGTGCAGTTCTTGTGTGTGAGGAAAATCCATCCATGATTAGACTTCTCAGCCAAATGCTTATTATAAATATAGAAACGGATGCATGTCCGGTCACATTTATTGCATTTTCGCAAACTTCCAATGTGAGTTTTCACTTGAAAACAAGGTAATATCATAAAGCAACTTTTAATTTTTTTAAGTTACGAATAACAAAAGGTTATAATTAACATCTGAAAACAGAACAAGTTTCTCCTGATCTAATCGTACTAATAAGATTCAATGATAGAAGCCGTGGCCATGTTCCTGTCGAGAATGTTCAATCTTCAAAAAAGACAGGCATTGTAGATACATCAAATTAGCATATAGATTAATGCTCCATTGTCGAGGGTGTGTATTAAAAAAGTGCAGCTTTGTAGAATCAGTTGCTTGCTCTTTTAGTCGGCTTGGAGGCGATGGCAATGAAGACCCTGACTTTCTCTGATTCTAAACGGAAGACGGGGAGATTATTCTACTGAAATTGGTAAAAAAAAACACTGCAAGGGACAAAAACAAGGAATCGAGATGAGAATTTTGCAGGAAGAGGACTAAATTAATGCTGAATCTGAGTGGTTAGTGTAGTATTGCGTATGCTTGGAATTAAAGTAAAGTAAGTAAAATCCTTTATTTAAAACATGATCAGGGTATAAGCATTACATGCTTGTGAGGACGGGTATCTAATTAACCCACCTAATTAACCTACTATTAAAGTGAATAGAATATATAAAATATCATATTATATTAAGAGCCCATTCAAAGTTTATTTTGGTCGTTTAATTTGTAGGTATCGTATCTATTCAACGTTATTGGAAATGGCCTCGGAAAAAAACTGCGCCGCGAGGGCCCTTCCATTCTGTATCTTTCTGTTTTTACGAACAATTTTCGCCGGTGAGCGATATTGTCGAACAGTGCAATCGGTTTCAAACCGTGCACTGGAAGGTCACGTGATAACTGTGTTGGCAACTTCGTCGGTTGAAAAGTGCCAGGTGAAATGTGAGACAAACCCTGACTGCTACAGCACAAATTACTTGTCTTCCTCGAAATCCTGTGAGCTGAACAAGGGAACTCGATTGTCGCATCCTGATAACTTTCTACCGCGAGAAAACACGGTGTATTTTGACAATCTTTATCGCTCCTATCACGCATGCGTGCACCCTCCCTGTCAAAATGGTGGTAAATGCATATTACGGACGCAGAGTCCTGGGTACGAGTGTCAGTGTCCACCAAAGTACAGTGGAAATAATTGTCAAGGTAAAACAAAAATCATAGTATCAAGTACCCCTATCAATGTAAGAGCAAGATTTACAAGTACCTATTTACACCAAATTGCACGAGAATTCGAGAAATAATGTTGTTACTTGTTTTAACAAGTAAATTGTTAAAATAATTTATATGAAAGAATCATGACGCGAATTCAAGACAGACGAAATCTTGACAGCGTGCGCGCGCTAATTGTAATTTGCGCTCGTGTTACAACTTTGCACTCGTTTTACAACTTTGTACTCGTGTCGCATGAAAAATTCATTCGTTTTCAGCCAATCATAAGCGCGTAATTTTTTTCATGTATATTGTCAGCTGAATGGGGGTATCCTGATGGACTAAAATCAGCAGCAGGAGCACTGCTGTGTGTGAGAAAACATTGATGGTATTTTTTCTGCTTTGCCATAGTTTGCGATGGTGATGCACTGGGTATTTACGACAAATTACGCAACTTGACAATATCTGCATCATCGTCTGAGCCTGACAGTCCGCCAGCCAGCGGTCGTATTTACGAGGCAGGGGGATGGCGAGCCTTAACTAACGATTCTCATCCGTATTTGGAGGTGAGTGTAGAATTAGGAATTTCTTTTTCATTGGTCCACTCTAGCATTTGTGAAAGCCACTGAGATTGTTTATAGAAGGGAATCATTGCCCCCACCTTTCGTCAACTGCTTCAAAAAAATCAATAGGGAAACTGCAAAGGCGGGAAAACGAGAGTTACTAATCACGACTGCTGTTTGTTTGGCATCTGATTGGGTGAGATGGTGGTACGATGTTTTTTTGACCAATCGCAGAGCATTTCTCAGCCTTCCCTCCTTGACAATGAGTGCCGGCAAAAACTATGGAATTTTAACTGAAAAGTTAGACCGAAAAGGTTCATTTGCACGCAATTAAAAGAATAAAAGAATTCCATGACTCGCGCGCCTTTCCCTAAAAAATATAATGATACAATGAAAGTCAATTGAATACTTTTCATTTCCTTCGGTGAAGATAAGATTTTCTTCTGAAGAACTCATAACAGCAGTAGCCACACAGGGTTGGAAAGATGCAAATAATATGCAGCCAGACTGCTGGGTCAAAGAATATTTCCTTGAGTACAGTGAAAATGGAACGACTTTGAAGATACATAAAGATGGCTCGAGTAGGAGGGTAGGCATCCTAAGTGTTCGTACATATTAGTCTCACGGTAGCACATTTTTTTGTGAGTTAATTGTTTCTCAAAAACGTGTGTGCGTTCCTTGCACTTAAGTATAGACTAAGTATTTCGGCCTTCAATGCGCAGTTAAAAGCGGTTCTGATTGATTTAGAATTGCTTTCGAATCGGTCAAGGACAAAGGAATAATGTGGGCTTGCGGAGCTGAGAGAATGGGTTGCGAAGTTGTGGGAAGTTTGGCTTGAACCGATGTCGTTTTCGTCGACGATACAATTTTTTAAGCGAGCGACAAAAACCGTTAACGGCATTCTAGAAAAATGTAAACGACGGGACTACTCTCTTTAAACCCAGAGAGTATTTAGTCGGAGTACATACTATGTATGAATCAAGAGCACACAATAATAAAATTTTGCGGATTTTGTTTGCGGTCATATTTCAATACTTGAGGAGTATAATCAAGCTAGTCATCCACAGCTTAAAATCACTTAGAATATCTAGATCATGAGTGTATCATCTTTTTCTAAAAATTATTTCCCGGCTTTTTTGGCAGGTTTTTCCAGGAAACTCAAACGCTAATGGCAATGTGAAGAACCTAATTAGCAAACCATTCCGATGTATAGCGTTAAGGATTCGCCCTATTAGCTGGGAACAGCGACCGGCCATGCGCACTGAAGTATATGGATGTGACGTATTTTGATTCATAAAAAATAACGAGAAAGCAATCATCAGTTCTCAGACCCCTCACGTTCTCCAAGACAAACTAGTACTCGGCTAAAAGCCCTCCTGAAATTTTAGGATTCCTTTGTATCCACACACAAATTGGATCGACTGTTATTCTGCTGTTTAGCGATTCACCAAAAATACTTGATCAGCCTGATCAGTTTTGACCACAACCGGAAGTGAGATGGCGGTTTTTGCCGGTACGAATGCAGTACTGTTTCCTTAGATGAAAAAATTGCATTTGAACAGCTCTGCGAGTTTTCCTTGGAAAGGGCTGGAATTGAAGTTCCTCCACGCTTCAAGTTTTACACAAGAATACAGGTTAAAACCATTGAGTGACCAAGCACATAAGGATAGAATTATCAAAGTGGAAGTTATCTAATGAAGGATGTAGCGCATTTGTTCTAGAATAATAGTAGGCGTGAATATAAGGTAATCGCCTTTGATCATTTGGTTTTCATCCTCTTAAAAATCTAATTAAAAAAACGGCGATTTCAAAGAAGTCGAGGGACAAAAGCTGTAACAAGCTACATGAAGCTCGGACACCAAAGACAGGCGAGCTGAAAGCTTAGGAAATCTTTCCCCGAAAGTTTTATTTTTGTAAAGAATCTTTACTACAGTTTTAACTACAAATAGAAGACCACTGCATACTCTTTGTGGACACTAGCTTCTAGTTTCTTGAAGATACAAAGGTGGAGAGGTCTATGGTGATGTGCAGTGTGTCTCACTTATCTTCGTTCGATGGAAATGACCAAATCTTCGAATGGAATGTTTCACAAAGCTAAATTTCATTTTGGTCTTGGTTCGCCACTGATCCTCGTTTACTTTGTGCCCTTCTGTGAACAACCCATCTCACAAGCGTTACAAGTATTTATAACCGCATTGAATGTTTACTATTTCGGATTCAATCAAGTTGCTGCTTCTTTTTGTTTTAACACCTGCAAAATTAGGTCAATACCAGAAAATTTCCCGTCACTCAACTAAATGAGAGCCATCATAGACCATGGTATATCTTTTGTTAATTGACGATTGATGTCCCTCTTGTAAAGGATTTAATTAACTTAGTATATCAATTTGTGTTATCTTGTAAAATTGCTGCTTCCGATTGGGTAACAGAAGGGCATCTGTGCAATCCTTAAAAGGCTATTCCATCACTGATTGACAAACAAAATTGAAACTGCAAAAAGAAAAAGCCATCTTGGAATTATTGACAACTAAATCCAGCACAACCTCACCTCGGAAAAGCATCTTTCAATCATATTATCATATTTTTTCAGTTTCTTATTTGCACCAATAAGGGTTGATTCAAGTCTCGCAGCGGACGAAGTTGTTTCTTTCGGTAAGCTCATACTACGATTTATAATAATAATTTATTTACTTATACAGCGCCCTTTAACATTATAAGGTGATCAAAGGCGCATTTATCGCATTTCTACTTTCTAAGGGGTGTTTCTTTAAGAAAAGTGTCAATTCATTGTTTGATTCACGCTGAAACAACGTTTCTGTCTGTTACATTTCTGAAATATGACAAGTTATATTGTACCAAAATGCTCAATTTTGAAAACATTCCCAAGCCAGCAAATTGCATCTTACACCACCGAAAGCTAGCTGAAGTAAGAACTTCAGGGACCTCAGAATCAGCGAAACGGAAACTCCGGCCAGTTTCAAGCGGTCTCTTTTTATCACATCTTTGATGTTCTCTCGATTATCCCGAGTTTTTGGCACCCCTGCAAAATCTTTCATGCTTAAAATCGAAATTGAGATTTTGCCGCATTTTCAGGGCCACAGTATTTTTCCCCACGTGATGAACAAGACTTGGATAACTTGTATACTTTTCATACTGATTCATCCTATTACCGGTCAAACTGGAAAAACCGGTTGTCAAGATGTTCATTCCATCTCTGGATACTCTCTCACCAGACACGCGTATCGAATCATGTCACGAGTACGCCTGATCACGTGTATCGCCACGTGCCAAAATGACCCACAATGCTACAGTCTTAACTTCAAGCACCATTGTCAACTGTGTGAGCTGAACAATGCAACTCGTCTGAGTGCTGAGCCCAAGTATTTTGTCCATTCAGGTGAAACGGTGTATTTGAATAACCTATATCGACCGTACAGACCGTGTGATAATTCACCGTGTATGAACAATGGGGTTTGTATTCCTACTGATCTCTATCCAGGATTCAAGTGTGAATGTAAAGAAGAATACTTTGGACCAGTTTGTGAAGGTAACAACTTGGGGATTTGATCATGATTTTGAATACATATGACTGATCAGGAAAGTAAGTAACATTCTTTTCCTTTCTCATGGTAAGGAGGAGTAAGAATGAAAGCCTTCCTCTCCGCCCCTCCTCTCCGCCCCCCCCCCATCCCTCTCCGCCCTGCCTAATCTTCCCCCGTGGGAGCTAAATATTGACAAAAGACCCTACCCAAGGCCTATTGATAATGACGACACTGCAAGTGCCGTTAACTCTGTTCTCTTGCTTCTCATGAAAAACCTCATGTTGCTAGACTCAGTATCACCTACCGCCTGTTCAGCTCCTTACCGACCTTTGGGAATGAAGGACGGTAGTATATTGGACCGTCAAATCACTGCTTCTTCTGAAGTAGCAGGCTTTGAGGCCTTTAAGGCGCGATTTGATGGCTCTTCGTGTTGGAGAAGCGCTAACAGTAGCCTTGGAGAGTACTTGGAAGTAAACTTGGGGCGAGAAGAGTATGTCAAAGCAGTAGGAACTCAAGCCGATCCATTGCAAGACAGCTGGACAGAAAAATACTACTTGGCGTTTTTCTTGGGACTAGGATGGAAGAATGTTACTCGGCGATTTAAAGATGTCGCGGTATGTAGTAGCTATTAATAGAAATGTGACGTACATTTGTTGAGGTATGTAGTATATACGGTGATGTACGCCAATCTAACACAGTCTAGACTAGCAGTCTCGAAAGACAACGAAGGAACAATCATGCTAGGAAACTGCATATAAAATCTGAGATTTATAACGCTTTTATTTGAGTGTCGTATGACAAAAATCAAGAAATCAAGGAAAAGGAAAATATCAAGAGGGGCCAAAGATATCTCAAAACACAAGCGCCCTGCGTCAGGTGCGCCAAAGATATCTCAAAACACAAGCGCCCTCCGTCTGGCGCGCCAAAGACATCTCAAAATACAAGCGCCCTGCGTGAGGCGCGGGAAAACGCCGCTGACCAAGTTGCGATGTCTAATTTTTGCATCTGATTGGTTGAGATGTTTGCGTTAAACTTGATTTTTTTTCACAAATCATAGAGCAAAGAACGTAAAACCAAAATACAGACCCGGATGATCCAGGACTACTCTTGACACTTAATAGCTAAATTTCTCTATCGACTTTACTGTGGTTCAGTTCGCCTTCCCTAATATTAACCCAGAGACTGTACAGTAAAACTAGTGGCGGTTTTATCCCGAAACAACAAGGATTAACGTCATGTTTTGACTCAAAATCCCTTTACGGGTTATTTTTTCTTTAATGCAGTGCAACCTGAAGTGGGTAGAGTGTTTCCTGAATTTCATTACTCATCTTTCAGGAATACAAAGGGAACACAGGGCAAAACCATATCATCACCAACTACTTGGGTGCACTAAGTTTCCACGCCACCGCTGTCCGAATCTATCCTCTGAAATGGCATGGATGTATAGCATTAAGGTTGGAGTTGTACGGTTGCTAAGGAATATATAATCGGGAATGGCATGGACGCATAGCACTAAGATTGCTTGGAAGCTATCATTAAAAATGGCATGGACACATGGCAACTAGGCTTGACTCGTATGTTAGGGTTACCTTACTGAATTTTTTTTTCCTTTTGAATATACCTAAATACGCGAATAGTTAAAAGCTTTTAGGGAAGAACTTTCCTTAAAAACGAATAAAAAATGGTGAAAATTTCTTTCTTCGAAGCTTTTTCAGTGTAACTTAATACTTCTCCTCTTGGTAGAAGTTACGAATATAGTGTCTTGTGTGTAGCCAGACCACAACTATGGCATACAGAAACACGAAAGTGGCATACAAGAAAGAGTTGACAAAAAAGTAGTATAAGAAAAAAATTGAATGCGTCTTTATCTACAGAGGGTACCCTTGGGGACCGTTTTCGTTTGACGAGTAAATTTGTAATTACAACATGATATTTTTAAACAACACTTGTAAGTAAACACGTCAGCTGTTCATTCAAGTTTTGCAATGCTTTCTTGGAAGCGGAGAACTTTTTCTCTGTTGTTTTGGCATTTAGTTGATGAATTGTCTTTGCCACGATGAGAAAACAGCGTTCAAATAGGTACTCTTCAACATAACTAGCACCTCGTGCCGCAGTGCGTCGCTTGGAAGGAATGATTAGGCGATGTTCCTTGACGTTGCTTCGAAGCAGCTCACGGAGAAGCTTCTGGTGTTGTTCCCAATCCCCTTGACATGCCTCAATTTGTCTCCTCAAATCTTCGAGGCAAACGTTCTCGCAGTCTGCCAGGAATACGGCAACTTGGTTGTCGAACTGATGTCTGTCTGACAATAACAAAGCTTCGAGACCGAGCTGTTTAACATAGATGTACGAGTTGTTGATGGCATTTTGATCAACAATACCTTGAACTTTTTCCAATATTTCCTTTGGAAGTATTTCAAACAAACGTTTCTTGCTCTCCCGAAAAACTGAAAAGTTATCATTGTAAAAATTAAACATACTGCTGGTTAAATTCTTCGCGAGCTTCAATTGTGTGTTAGTTTGCGGTTTAAGTCGTCGCAGGCCTTGTATATCGACTGCAAATTGCGTAAATAAATCTGATAAATCCAAATGGTATTTGGCGAGTGTCTGCGTTGCACTGCTCTCAACAGGCACCAATCCTTTCAAATCCCTCTTTGCCTCAACAGCGTCTACAAGTAACCCATACTTGGGCAGCACCTCGTTTATTTTTTCTTGAAGTCGTGTAAGAGTTGAGTTGATTTAGACTATATCATCTAATATTGACCCGACAGTGGGTCCATCGAGAACAGTATTTCCCTGCAATTCTGCGGCTTCGCTATGACAAGCGTTACAGACTCGCAGATACAAACAGCCGGCTGGTTCTTTATCAGGGGAACCGATAATGTTGATGAGGGACCACTGAACGACGGCGGATTCACCAGCAGGATACAGGATAAGAGTTTCTTGAGAACAAAATGAACATATTATTGACCCGCACACCCTGGCAAACAAAAGAAAAATAGTTCATATCCATAAAGAGATTAGCTGTGGAAACTCCCACCTACTGTCCAACCAATCAGATGTAAGACTGAAACTAACCAAACCCAAAACCTGACATGCAAACGAGGTTGTTAAGTTGGATGGCCTGTCTAAAATAGCTTTGCTAATTGCAGGCTCCCCGGGACTTCCCCCATCAATTTGTAATGACTAAAGTTAACATTGCTTTAGTTGTTGTAAAAGCAAATGTCATGAAAGTTCAGATTTCAAGATTTATAAAGTAATTCTTTCAGCCATTCTAGAGGTGCTGTGAAAGTTCACCATGGTGATAAGTGGTAAAGGGGAAAAGAGGAATTATGGTTGTTACCACGGCTTTCAGGCTACTTCATTTCAGGAGTTACTACTTATACTACGTACTTACTTGCAGTGGGACTTTGTCTCTGTTACTGAAAACGTTTTATTACACAATGTACAGTAGTTCCTTGACGAGCTTTGCTGAAAAAGACAGAACATGAACAAAATGATGTACTCAGTTTGGGTGGCTTGCGTGTAGAAAAAAGAGTACATTAATTTTAGAAAAGATGGACATTTCAATACCAGATTTATGATACAGTTTTAGGAATATATCCAAATTGTATTAACGGAATAAAATGGGAAGACTTTGGTTATTGTCTTTAAGCGTGGAAAAGTTTTAGTAGAATCAAATTTTTAATCAAGGTTTTTTTTCCTCTGTGGAAATCTGCTTTTGCAGATCAAGAAAAATCTGCAAAATCCAAAAATTACATATGCAAAATTTTTCTGTGGCACAAAAGTGTAAATAAAAGTTGCAAAAACACTTTAACTTTACATCATTACTTGGAGAAAATCTTTAGACACAACAATGGTTTTGCCTGCATTTCATGGTATTTATTCACCTTACATTGCTAAGAAATTGATTTAGCTTCTCACCATCCAATGTTTTGATCTTTGCCAATCTGGGATCTTCAAAAAGCTGAAAGCTTCAGTCACAAAGGACTTTAACTTCGATTGGCCAATGTGCTTTGCAAAACCATCCACAAGTCTTTGTAACTCTTCTTTGATATCCCTCAAAGAGTGGCCAGGTCCAACTTTATGATCATTGTTATTTTTCTTTGATTTCACAAGGTTTCGGACATGGTTAAATTCTTTCCATAATGAGCAGAAAGCTCCATCTGTCTGCGGTCCAACATCATCAAAACAGCTTTTACACACCTGACAAGAGAAAATCAAGACAACAGTTAATGAGTCAGCATCAAATTACTGGTAACACTTTTCCTACTGGTTCTGTATCTAGTAACCCAGAGGAGGGGGGGGGGGAAAGAGTAATAGTCCATTTTACAGTGGTGTGCTTGGTTGCCAAGCCTTTGAACAGGAGTGAGGCTAGGGGTGACCTTGTTATGATACAAACCCTGCTGCCTTTCAAATGTAAATCACTTTATTATCATGCTAACTAGATCCAGGTCTCTATCACGACAAGGTCACCTTCAGCCTCACTCCAAATCAAAGGCTTGGCAACTAAGTACAAAACTGTAAAATGGCCTATTCTCAGTAACTTTCCTTGTAAAAATGACAAGGACTTAACATTCTTTACATTGCACTGACCATTAGGTTACAGAATCTCAGTAAATGTAAATTTACTAGAAACAAAAAGTAATGAATAAAAAAATATTTCTCACTCTGTAGCTGATTCCATCTGGATCTAGAGTTGCAAAGACTGACAAGCGACGCCTGTATTGAGAGCACTCGCCACAAAATACCTCACCACACCTTTAAATAAAAAGTATGGTAACCAATTCAGAGAATAAACAACACTTAAGGATGGACTAAATAGTTTGAACCTGTGATTAATGGTGGACAATGAGGTTTGATCGAGTAAATTAAGACATATTACAGTTGTCCACTGTCAATCACTATTACTGACAAAAGTCACTTCCTAATACTCCCTTTGCTCGTTCCACGAAATGCTGCTGTACATGCACTGCAGGCGCAAATGTAAACCTGAAATCGAGGCTATCCCTGTATAACACTTGAAAAAAACAKAGCACGAAGGTTTCGTTTTAGATTTGTTGTTGGCTCTATAAGCACAATGAACGAACCAAAGCTCCAAAGAAAACATAGAAGTGGAGGGAAGCAGTGTTCAGTGGTAGCTTGTAATAATTTTGAATATCTAAGCGACGGAACACCATCGAAAATTCACTTCTTTAAGTTTCCAACCAAGCCATCGCTTCGAAATCGATGGTGCAATTTAATCAAGCGGCAGCACGGCAGAGACGGCTTTTACGTGAAACCTTCAACAGTCTTATGCGGCCATCATTTTAAGGAAAATGACCTATGCAAACATCCGGGAGGAATGCGGTACAGGCTACGACTAGGTATGTTTTTGTATGCCCATAAGACTGCCCATAAAATGTGAGCTTTTAGTGAGCTCTTGAGTTTTATGTAAGCTATATAAGTTAAAGTTGAGCAAATTGCAATGATTCTTTTCATACGATTCACTTAGCTTTGAAGATTTTGAATATTTCTTTATTAATATAAGGCTATCGAAGTATCAAGTTAAACTCAAGATTACTTTAAACTTTGGTGTTTATATTTTTCAGGAGCAGAGCCATCCATATCCATAGTCGTAGAGTTGTACGCGGTTGAACGACGGTATATTTGGCAAGTCCTTGCTCCACTCACATCCCCGAGATGCTTGATCTCTAGACAAAACTTCGTACGTTATTTCGTGGCCACTTTTGGTGTTCGAAATCAACGATATCAATGGCTGTTCTTGTTTTGAAATGTTGTCAGGCTCGACGCAGACCACTTTTCTTTGATAAATAGCTTGACATCTTAGGACAAGATCAGCCTTCTTGCTGCCACATGGCTGGTTTTCTACTTTCAATATTTCTCTTAAATATTTCACTGTAAGCTTTTGAAAGTCCTCTATCTTCTGAATTGTGTCCACCAGGCAGCCTTCGCCACATTTTTCGACTTAAATATTTTCTTCAAAGAGCTCTTATAAGTTAAAAAAATCAACATTTTTACACGCTCGCCCTTGGTTTGTTTGTATGATATGATACAGGGTTGTATGATATGATACAGGGTTAGCCTCGTTTTCACGCTTGACAGTATCTGCAAACATTCGAACAGTGGTTATCAGCACAGAACGCGAAACTGGAGTTTTAAGCTACTCTCATTCAGATGATCACATTACATGATCACCTTTTGGTTATAAGATAACATAATGATTGGTTAATTGCATTTATGTAGACACCCTGAATTAACAACAAAGCTGACAAGATCATGTACAAAATCAGTTAAATCTAACAACTAAATTTAAATAAATACATCACAACAAATCTCAATATAACTCTCAATTCAAACAACTTAATACCAATCTTAAATTCAGATATACTTTCTGTCAAATGGTTGCAACATTTTTATGGCTTATCCACTTTGATGTAATGGGAAAGTAAATGCGAGATCCCTCACGTATTAATATGTCGACATATCTGTTTACCCAGCCCAAATTAACTTAAGTCCCCCTCTCAGAAGAAAATAATAATAACTAATGCTTCTACTACCCGTCCCCTACAATAATAATAATGTTGACAGCTTAGACCTTTGTAAGAAGAATCAAGTCAACTGGTCATTAACTAATACATTGGCCAAACGTTTACAAGGAAAGATTACAGCATGTACAGAATTGGTAATCTGAATCAATTTCCACCCATTCAATTATTAATTAAATATCGTCCTCAGATGATAAAGGAAGCAAGATAAATTAAATTTATCGATTTGGAGTCTAACTTACACTGATGCGTTATTCTGTAGAAGATGGAACCAAGGTCCGCTAGAAGTGTTAACTAGCAGTTTACGTACCTTCTGCAGTGATGCTTCCTTTCCGTTAACGTAAATTTCTTCCGACAGCTTCCATCGGCACAGTGAGTACGTTCTAAACTATTCACCCAATGCGCCTTCGTAATCTGCCGAACTCTTTCCGCCTTTGGAATCGGTTCCTCGTGCTCGTTCAGAACATAACTTACTGAGCGGCTTAGATCCTCCCATTGGGCATTCAGAGACTTTGATCGATAATAATTAGAACTTCTGTGAGCCATAATGATGCAGAGCAGTCAAAGAGGTAAGCTACAGGTATTACAAAACGAATACAGAAAGTTGCCACATGCCTGTGCGAAGGTTCACCTGCACCAAACTATCACTGAGTTAGAAGTCCATGTATGACCCCGTAAAATGTCCTAAGTTCTCACTGATTATATGACGTCATGTTAAAATGTCATTTAGCCAACTGTCAACCGTCAACCACATAAAAAGGAAATAACGCGACATTGCGTGACAAATTAATCAAAAGCGACATTCAGCTGTGAAAGATTTTCGACGACAATGAAGTTCTCCGTGAATTCTTTTATTTTCGTTACTTTGACGAATCTTCACATATTCGTCTCCTCAGCTGCATCTAAACCTAATATTTTGTTTGTTTTGGTGGATGATCTTGGATGGAGTGACGTAGGCTTCCATGGTTCGAAAATTCAAACTCCAAATGTTGACAAGTTGGCAAACGAAGGAGTCATTCTGGATAGTTATTACGTTCAACCGATTTGTTCTCCAACAAGAGGAGCGTTGATGTCCGGAAGATACCCGATACATCTTGGTTGGTGTGATTTCAGTTTGCTGTGGATTTTAAACTAATTTCTAATACTATTGTGCCAATCTATAAAGTGGGAAGGCGATATTTCCTACAATTTTCCATTTCTATTTTTTTAAACATCATGTGACGATCAGCATGTCACTTTCACTCCGGGACTAGTCTGCAATAGATTCACCACCTGCACAAAATTTTTATTTTTCTGCTTAACAAATGCTGATTTCAGCTTTCACACAAGAAACAAACATAAGTACATGTGTAGAACTCCTTTCTCAAAGTGAATGATGCGATAGACCAACCGAAATAAACGTTCATATTATATTTTATACCCCAAAAGTGATTTTTAATCTTGCGACGTCGTATATATTGGTTATTTATTTGGTATTCACTGTAATAAGTTAACCCCTTTGCAGTTAACAAATGTATATTATATTTAGATGTAGATTTATTTTGCAAACTCTAGAGATTCTTTTTTGCGCAAGGAAGTTAAAAATTAGCAGAATGGAAAGTTAAAAGTTGATAATTCAAAAAGCTCTAATGTCAACATGTAAACTATGGTTCGTGCAATCATTGCAGAAGTAGTTAAGAGAATTCATATTGCAGTGTAGAGGTAGAAAGATTTGTTTCTTTGCAGGAATGCAGCATGGAATTGTTCATACTGGGTGTCCATTTGGTCTGCCTTTGAATATCACCACACTACCACAAAAACTCAAAGAAGTTGGTAAGAATTTGGACTCGAGATTACAACCTTTTCTCTAGAGTTTTGTGTACAATTTTGGTAGTACGAACTCTAAATGACCTAATAGTATAACTGTTTATTCGGTGAAGCCCTTGAATTTAAAATTCAAAACTGGGTTGCGTTTGATAAGTTTATATAGTTGTTTCTTTAAGTTGGCAATTAATTCATTTTATCTAGTTGATTAATTATTAGTTGAACACATTTCAGAGGTAGTAGAGAAAGGTTAGGGGTGTATAACAAACTAGCAAAGCTTATCAGTTGGCAACCATGCACAAGAAGGTAGTTGTTTAGGAAAAACTCCTAGAACACATTATTCTGCTAAGCATCAACCCTTTGATATGATTTTTGGAAAGATTAAAACCAATTTTCTACTGAAGTAGAGAAAATTTATGTTCCAAAACATAGAGGTACTCCAAATTTTAATTTATAGAAGTTTAAAGGCCTTCCCCACTCCTGCCCTGTTCCCCTGCTCTGCTGCCTATAGGTATATTTTGTTAAGTAAATTTCTCATTAAAATACAAAGGGGTTGTCCTCATTTTTTTTTTCAGGATACAGCACCCACATGATAGGCAAGTGGCATCTTGGTTTCTACAACTGGGAGAGTACCCCTACCTACCGTGGCTTTGATACCTTTTATGGGTTTTACAATGGAGCAGAGGATCATTACACGCATGTTATAAGTCATTTTCTTGATTTCAGAGACAACAAAGAAATTGTCAGGGATATGAATGAGACTTACTCTGTTAATGCTTTTACAAAGGTGAATCATGTGTGTTTTTGAAAAATTGGCAAATGTTAGCATTCAAAGATGCCTTATCATACATAATTTAAATTTAAAAATTTCCAAGTCTGCTTAACAGTATCTGTTATTATTATGTCAAATTTGGATGGGTGCATGGAAACAGCCTTCAATTAAGACACTTTTGATGCAAAAGTGGTGTTGCAAGTGCACCTGCAGTAATTACTTCATTTCTATCTTTTTTAAAATGTTTTGTCCACAATGTTCACTTAATAGAAGATATTCTATATATAAGGCTAAAAGATTAAGAAAAAATTATAAAAATGTTTAAACCAAACGTTTTCGGCTGTTTGCCATCATCGTTGCCCTGATGATGGCAAACAGCTGAAAATGTTTGGTTTAAACATTTTAAAATGGTTTGTTTCAAAGAATATCAGCATGTAATTTCTAAAATGTTTTGTCCATAATGTTCGCTTAATAAAAGATATTCTATATACAAGACTAAAAGATCAGGAAAAAAATTATTAAAATGTTTAAACCAAGCGTTTTCGGCTGTGTGCCATCATCATTGCCCTGATGATGGCAAACAGCAGAAAATGTTTGGTTTAAACATTTTAGAATGTTTTGTTTCATAGAATATCGGCATTCAATTTCTGTGTTTTCTTCAAGCCATAAGTTGATTGATATGAGATAGTGCTACACTAAAGAAAGAACATCAAACATTATTATCATCACTATCTGTATGAATTACCTTTGTCGTTGATCAATACTTTTTCAGCGAGCTGAGCAAATTGTCAAATCACATGATGCCCAAAATGGTCCTCTTTTCCTTTACATGGCATTCCAAAATGTCCACTCTCCAGTCCAAGCTCCCAAACAACATGTGGACAAGTACTCCTTTATAAACGACACAATAAGACGGAGCTATGCTGGGATGGTGGATATCATGGATGAAGCAGTTGGTAATATAACAGGTGCATTCAAGGAAGCCGGGTATGTGGGTATATTCTTTTGCCATGCATGAGACATTTCCAACCATAATTGTTTTGCTTCACACAAGAAATATTGGTAGGCCATGCAAGGGAGGGGAAATCTCAATGATAACATGAATGGTAATTTTTGACAACAGAAACTTTGAATTTTCTGGTTCTTCATGAGTTGAGGTACAGAATTGGGTAAGATCAATTGTACTCAAGGTATTTACAATGGCCAGTGGTAGGTTTAACTTGTTCTTGAGAGGAAAGAAAGCAAATTAGTTGCTTAGTTTGAAAGCAAAACCGTTCTTTTGTCTTTACTTGTCCTTATGAGATGTTTCAAGGAGGTGGTAAAAAGAGAGGATACATAAAGGTGGTATATAAATGACAGAAATGCAGAGTAACTCACGTCATATTGTAGGGAGTTCAATACTTTCCTGTGATTGTAGCACAGGACACCTTTCTGAGATGACGAAGTGGTGAATGTTTATTTTTGTATTTGTTTACTTTTATTAGTGGTTATTTTTTAGGGGATAAATCTTGTGATTAGTGTGGAGGGCTTCCATATTAATATAAAAGCTAGTAAAGAGGATACGAAACTGTGAAATATCCTAGAGGAATAACATAATATTCTGAAGTTAACAGACTGTACATGTTTGTTGGTGTCAACTGGGTCTAGAATTTGCTTAATTTCTTCCTCTTTAAAGGTTATGGGACAACACGTTGATGATCTTTAGTACTGACAATGGTGGGGTGCCAAAAAATGGTGGCTATGACTACCCCCTGAGGGGACCGAAGGACACTCTGTGGGAAGGAGGAGTCAGAGGGGTGGGGTTCGTACATGGAAAAATGCTATCTAGGAGTGGGGTGAAATCTACCGGGCTGATTCACGTGACCGATTGGTATCCAACATTGGTCAATCTTGCTGGTTAGTAATCTGTTCACCCTGTCCTTAACCGATTTCTAACTGTAGATAAAGCGAGCGAACTGAGTGCGCAAGGACTAGCGCGTAACGTGCGAGGGTGTGCTTTAGATGCGAGAGCTAGAAAAAAAAGTTTCGGCTAGAATTAATTGCTTCTGGGAACAAATTGTTTTTTTGCAAAACAACTGCAGCATTTTCCGTCGCCGCTTTAAGCATCATATTTAGCGAGATGTGGTTTACACGTTAAATGCAAAACGGACCCTTCACAGTCCTCTTGCACGCTTGCTTCGTTCGCTGACTCGAATCTCGCTGAGCCTTGGAACATCCTACCAGGTTAGAAATTATTGGAACGTTGTTGGTCACTGTTCACCTAAGATCTTAAAGAAGAAAATAAACTTAAAACCAAGGTTAGACTAACCGTTTCACGCAGAAGGATCATTGCTTTTGATAGTTAGGCAGCTACGAAATCAGGCGTGTCTAATCACACTTTCTTGAACTTTGCCACAAACGCAGTGCAGGCCTGTCCAAACGTATCCGGGTATTTTTGAAGAGGGAAGATTTTTTATCGTCGTTTGAGCAAATTGCCCGTCCACATGAAGTCTATTCGGATCTTTTGGCGTCCTTCCTCATATATCCGCTAACAAGATGGAAAGTCAAATAAGGACAATATTGAAGCAACCTCTATCTAATAAGGGAGACAGAATGGAGGGGTAAAACTGAGTGAAAATATTTTACTATTATTATAACTGTTTTTTTTTGTTATCTTGATCATTACTATTATTATTATCATTTGAATTAACACTGTTTTTATTATCATAATAATAATTATTATTATTATCATTAGTTATTTTTAGTTTCTTTAAACTACTAGCTTGTCTCCTTCGTTCTGACGAGGGGCTAACGCTCGAAACGTCAGCTTTGAAACCCTTTGCGGTGTCCAATTCTAATTATCAACTCTGTTGATAAAACCAGATTACCTACGCAACGAACTCGAGGGAGCATGACCTGACATTCCAAATAACCGCTGCCAAAAAATTAACAATGAAAATGCGTCTAGTTAAGTAAATGAAGTACGGTGTTCAGTCTATTTCCGTGTTTAGGTGGTTATCTTAATGACGAAGATCTGCCCCTTGACGGTCATGACGTATGGAAAACCATTTCAAATGGCGAAGCTTCTCCGCGTACAGAGATCCTTCACAATATAGACACTCCCTCTTTCCCCGACACAGAACTTGGTTTTGCCTACCAGGGCATAGGTCTCCGTGTAGGAGACATGAAACTTCTCATGGGAGTTCCCAATATTTCATACTTCATCCCTCCGGAAGAAAGAAACATTTCTGAGGTGAACTCCGTGACCGACCAGGATTTGAATGATGTAAGTGTAGGATCATGAACATTTAAAAATGTCAAATTCTCCAGCAGGTCCATTTATGGTCAAAAATGCATTTGAAATTTCATCGGCACTCCTTTTTCTTGGAGCTGACTCATAAAACTGTGTTTTTTATATGCACATGTGTGACTTTATTTCTTGTGTCTGAATGATGTGTTGAACTGAATGAGTAATTTCCTAATTCAATTTAGCCCCCAGTTCCCACTATCAATGTTGCGCTGTTCAACGTCACCGCTGACCCGTATGAGAAGAATGACCTCAGCAAAAAGTTCCCAGATAAGGTGAAGGAGCTTCAAGATCGATTGGAGTATTACATGAAGGGGTTAGTGCCGCCTGCTAACAAGCCAAGTGACCCAAAAGCAAGGAGAGTAGCAAGGGAGAATGGAGCATGGACTCCGTGGATGTGAAAAATCAACGAAATGGAACGACTTACACTAATTATTATGCACGTGATCCTTGCACTGAACACCATAATTTTCATTAATTTTTTGGGAAACCACACTAGCGGTTCTCGGAGTTGAAGCGAGGCTTGGTTTGCAAACAATCATGTGACAAAAATGAATTTTCACAAAATCTGCACGAAAAAAAAATTTCTGTTTTCATTTCACGTAGGAATTTAATTAAGAATCACTTTATGAAAGTGGTCCAAATTTCATAGTAATTTGGATATATCAACAAAGTTGAAATGGTAAATTGGCCACCGTAACGATTACAAGAGCTGACGTTTCGAGCGTTAGCCCTTCGTCGGATCGAATAGAGGAATTGTGGGTTGTGCGTGCTTTTAAAGGCAGAAAATGGAGCTACCTTATTGGTGGGAACATGGCAACGACAAAAACAAGAATAAATTAGTGGAATGAAGAGCGTTCGTTGATCCCTTTGGGATTTAGACTGCCGGTTTGAAAGATGAGCTTTTGTTCAAGATTTTTACGGCTTTCCGTGCTACCTAAGTGTAAGGAAAGACCGCAGATTGCCATATGAACGCAATTTCATTGAACGCAGTCTATCGATCACTGAATTGATAATTCGTGCAAAGGTATATAATACACCGACCCCAACTGACAATTGGTAAGATGAGTTTTCTTTGACCGAGTGTAATTAACGAAAGGCTAAGCTTTTAATGTCAAATAAAATACAGCAATTGTCAAACTGCTTTTAGATTTCACCATTCAGTGGCCAAAATTTCACAGAGCATAGTCTATAAATCAGTGAATTGCGGATTTGTGACTGAGTGAAATGTCTTTTTATGTCAAATAAAATACAAGTTGTCAAACTGTTTTAGAATCCACCATTCAACACTGGGGATAAAGCTAGATTGGAGGAAGGAAAGGAAGCAAGGAGGCAATAAAAGAATAAATCGTTCATGTAACTACTGGTGCTGTTTTTTGTTCATTTTCTTACTGATCGAAAAACGGATATGTTTAATCTCAGAAGAACTAGACGGCAACTCTGATTTTTAACAAACTGTTTATTGGTCGTATTTACAGATCAGTTTTTATTCAGTCATAGTTTTAATGACTCGTCGGATACAAGTTATATTTATGCCTTTGCTACCTGTTCTCACTAGTTTGTTAATTATCTCGTACCCAGGACAGCGTGACGCATACCGTGGGAACGACATAGACACCTCGTTACCACGCTAGGCGAGTTTGCCTGGTTACTTAGTTGCTGTATGTACAATTATTTTTTTCAATCGAGTGTCGAAAGTAATTCGGGATCACATTGCTTTTGCATTACTTTGCTCTGTGGTTGGTCAAGAAAACTCGCGCCATTTTCTTAACCAATCAGATGTAAGACGGAAACCGAATGGCGACTTTGTCTTATTCGTTTTTCTGGCGCTTCCGAAGAGACATGGAGTTTTAATCGGCTCTTCGTGATTATTTTTTCATTCGTTCTAATTGGTTTTTGTTTTGGTTTTTCGACAATCAATTAAAACTTACTCTTTTCTAAAGGATTACATATTTACATAAATAGCGGCAAAATTACAATCAACGACTCCAGCCTATTAAACCTTTAACTCCCAAGATCTGCCTGTTAATTCTCCCCTCTAACTGCTACACATTTCCTTGTAAATTGGTCACGAGAATTTGGTGTTCAGACAAGGTAACAACTTCTACCTGATAAGTTTGAGTATTCTCATTACCTGTTTGCAGGATCATGTATGGATATTATAGGGAGAAGTTACTGGTTGATCACTTCGAGGAGTTCAAGGGTTAACTTAAGTGAGAACAAATAACAGAACTATAGAACTACAATCATCGATTTCTATAAATCCAAAGAGCTTGCAAAGTCGAATGTTTAACATTTGTTAGTTCCATTCTTTCCCCTTTCACTGCAAACTTTACAGACTGATTTCACGGATAATACCCTTCACATTATAGTCTGATTGAGAACGATAATCAAGTTTGACAAGCTCTTTAGGTTTTGTCGTCTTTGTTAATAACTTCATATTAACGCCGAGAAATAATTCCTCTCTCCTACAGGAGAGTGTTCAGTAAAATTACTTCCATAAAGAATTTTGCAGCCGTTATCCATCCTTTCTTAAAATGGCGGTAGAAATGGAAGCCACGTTCATCTGGATCTGTGGTTTTTGCTTAACTCACCAAAAAGGCTCCAAAATTGTCTTCTGTTTTTCTGGAGCCTGAGTTATAATTTGGAAAAAGCTTTTCGTGGGTTACTTTGACATTTTCCTCAGTTTTGAACACGACTTGAACAGATAATTTAGTGTTCCCGGGTATCTTTAGTAATCGCGATATGTGAACAGTCCCAAAATATATATCGCGGCTGTCATTTGAGGGTATCGGTGTGAAAGACATTAGCGCAGGATGTCCTGTGGCAGAGACATTTACGACTTTAACCGCGGTTATTTTCTCACTCACTCTGAGATTCAAATAAACTGAATACCAGCCCCCTAATGTAAAGAGGAGTTCTTTGTCTCGACGCGACTTGATTTTGTTGGGTTGTAGTGGATCGTATGAGTGCCAATGTAACAGAGTTGGACTGCCTGAAAGAAAAAAGGCGTTTCGAATTGAACGATACCATGTATGTCTTAAGGGAAAACTGTGTGTCTTCTCTTAACCCTCCAACTGCCAGGATCTGATCGTTAATTCTCCTCTCTTGACCCTACACATTTCCTTGTAAATCGGTTACGAGAATTTGGTGTCAGATGAAGTTTGAGTATTCTCATTACCTGTCTGCTGTACTGATGTATGAATATTATAGGGAGAAGTTACGTGTTAATCTCTTCTGGGATCTAAAGGGTCAAGAGACTGCTCGTTATTTATCGCCTGACGGAGGGGAGGGCTGGAGGTTTTTATTTGATAATAGAAATGTATGAATCTTAACACATTCTTTCTTTCATCAAGGCTTGTTTATTACATCGCTCGCAGCGCCTGTGGGCAAGATGAAGCGAATCCTGTGTTCTGATTGGCTACCCGGGCGGCCAAGATGGGCCCATCTTGCCCGCTCGGGATTGCCCGCATTGATCCCGCGTATGAAAAAAGTTGAATTAGAACTATGTTCGTAATTCTTGGAAAATTTCGGCGATGGAAACGCAAAAAGCGGCAGAAGATAGTCAAAACAAAGAAAACAGAAACAACTCTCGTGAGTTTGTTGTGCTACAAACACAGTTGGCTTTCTTTCCTGGCTCTCGAAGTAAACAAGTCATTCTTAATTCTAAATAAAGCGAAATCTTTTTGCAATATAATAAATCCTTTATTAACCAAGCTTGTTCGGTCAAAATGGCTGGATATTGGCCGAGTTCTTTTTTTGCATTTTTCATGGACCGAGACGAAGTCGAGGTCCATAAAAATGCAAAAAAAGAACTCGGCCAATATCCAGCCATCTTGAAAGAACAAGCTTGGTTAATAACGTATATATATCAGTTCTTACATATCATGGATAACAGTACCGTTTATACCGTGCTGGCCAAGGATAATAGTAGACATGTGCATGAATGCTGATAAAGAAAAAAATAATTTTCAGATAATACAGATGATACGCATAACCATCAATTAAGGTTTTAAAATGTCTTCAAGCCTGTAAATTTACAGCGACTCTCGGAAATCGGATCTCATTTCAAACCAGAAATCCTGTGGTATGATCGGCTACCAAAGGGTTCTGTGTATTTCCTCTGTATACTGGTCTCAATGCTAACTTAGGGTCTGCCTAAAGGTTATATCTTTTCTGTGCTAACTGACGCGTGTAGACTTCAAATGATCAATTATCCACTGAAGCAGTGTAAGGTTCTGCCATATCGATTAAACATATCACTTATAATACAGCCTTAGCTGTTTCGAGCTTCCATTGTCGTACAAAGAAGAGATAACGACTTGTCTACATACCTTTTGGTTGGCATTTCCTTACCGAAGTGCAATTTAATCCTAAATTGCGGAAAAAGAAGAGGATACATTAGGAATCTGTTTTGTATGATATACATGCAGTGCGCGGGCGTTTTTCAGCTCGTTGTGAGAAATGAAAATTCATCATAAGCAGTTTATTGTTGCTGAGTACACAAGGTGTGCATCTCGTAATGTTTCGTTTCGTCTCTAAAAACCTAATGGTGTGCAACCAAACAAACACAATGTATTTATTTCATGTTGCCTTACTGAAATCCCGAGTGACACCGGCCAAACTGTGATTTTCTTTTCGATACAAGCTGTATTTTATTGGTCGGAAAACCCTAATTGGGCCTGATTTTTACCTGCTCACAGTAACCTAGAATCGGTCGGCCCTGTGCTTTTTAGAGTTGTCTGATTTGACCCATTTGAACAATAAAATTAAATTAAATCAGTAAGGCGGAATGCATACCTTCTTCAGCAGTTTTGTGTCTTTTCATACAGCGCTCAAACGAGTGACAACAGTTACTGTGATTTTTATGCTTCCTGTGTCCTGTGTGACAAACTAGAATGATACAATTTTATCCTCACAGTAGGAAATCAAACGTTTGAATTGGTACGGAATAATAGATACAGAGCATACCTTCTACATTTTTTATCCGTTTTTTGTACCTTAAATGACAATTAAGATTTCTACGTTTACTTGGATTGTGCAAAGAATAACGCTGGTTAAGATCGATAGATACTTAAGTGTGATCAAGTATCTTAACATGGGCTCCTCCAAACAAACTGCACAAAGGACTGATTACTCGATAACTTTTGAAGACTCGCATTTTTTTGGTTAAATCACACTCGTGACACGAAGAACAAATACCTTTCTTTCACATCTTTCTTAACGCGCTATCGAGCTAAAATAATGCGCCATATTGTCTCTATCTACCCTTAGCATATGGTCATTTGTAATGTTAGTAGATGGAAAGTGAGGGGCGGCTTTCTTCGAATCTGCTTTGCGTTGACCGAGGGAAAGTGATTCCCTGAAAGGTATTTCTTCATCAATACAGGATGTTTTCGAGTGTTTTTTTTTTTAATTCTTTTATTATTCATTGCTTTCAACAACTGATCTTATCACGGTGAAAAAAAATTGTCGTTTCCTTCCTTCCGACGCAAAATCTTTCAACGAGCGTTACCGCCAGCTGAAGTCGCGTTTCTAAAAGGAAAAAGTTACGGATTCTTGTACCAGGAGGTCGATGATAGCCCGTGTTCTATCAAAGCTGGCTGCAAACCAACAAAAATTAATACTAAGATCCGATTCACATCAAATTGCAATATCGAAGAGGCCTCCAGACCTTTGGTAATCTTATTATGGGCCAGAAAAAGAAACCGGCTTTCCGGTGTAATTCCCGGTGAGAACGGCGTTCAAGAGGTCTTCTGGGCATGCTCAGCTATGATATTGGTGTCGTATTTCAATGATAGTGGATTGAGGGGCGCTTGAAATACTTAGACTCAACTGCCGTGTTAATTTTTTTCGATCTCATGGTGCACGAATATTATCTTTAAATGAAACTGGGAGTCAAAGAAACCCTACTTCCCGCTCAATTGAGTTCGTGGCTAAGTAGCTTTGTCTCACACAGTATGCGCTGGAAAAAAATCAAAATAAGACATTGTTGAAAATCTTTACAGGAAAAAAAAACATTAATAGTGTTGTGCAAGCCTTTTTTATCTTATCATGACCTTATCCTTTCACCTAACACATGAAACTGAATGACTTGTTCGTACACTCCGTTTTATTCAAAACACGGAAGTAGGGCAACAAGTCCAGCCATCGTGCAATAAATTTAACATAATCACGTATTTTGTTAACTAAAGAGATCTTCGTTGTTTACGATCACGCTTACAGAGCATGCGTGAAAAGTAAACAGCTGAAAAAGCTTAAAGATGTCTAATAAGACAACACGGATCTATTTCTGACCAAAGGTCGGGGACAGAGAACTACTAGTTGACTCTCGAACGTGAACTCGCCGACGTGCTTTAATTAGCCCACTCACCGACGATCGAAATTAAAATTATGCAAAAATAACCATAAATATGATTACTTACGATTACTCCTTCGGAGACGGGAGATCTACATAATACAAAACAGAAGAAGGTTGGATAAATTGTAGTTAGAATTTTATCGATGTCAAGAGACTAGACAATAACTTTTTGGGACTGCGTAAAGTTTGAGCAGTCACACGTTGTTAGTTTGCCTGGAGAAAGTAAAGAGGCCCATGTTCGCCGGATATTTAAATCTGGAAACTTCCAATACAAGTTGGCTAACTTTACCTCTGTGTTTGAGAGCTCTTCTCTTAAATTTTCGTTTTCTGCCTCTGTTTTGGCTACTTTGGAAGACAATTCCTCCACCATCTTTCTCATTTCTTTCAATTCTGTGGATAACGACTGCTCTATGCAATCTCTTCGGATGAGGACGTACGAATGTATACCAACAGCAATCAGAATTGCTGCGAGCAAAATGCTGATCCATCGAAGAGATTTGCTTTGTTGGAGAGAATATTGTCGTAGTTCACTCATCGCGCTCGGTGTTTCCTTGAAAATGACCCGAGGAGACTGATCCTTTTAACTTTGTAACTCAAGGAAGCTGAAGAATTTCATTTAATTACGATACGTACATCGACAGCTCCGCTGCATACAACTTTGGACACGTGACCAATGTTTATTACACCATCATTTTTGAGTCATGGTTTCATGAGGGCTGCGGACTTCATTTTGACATTCATTTTCACCGAAAGGCGAACGATTTCTTAGAAGTCTATTGCTACCTAAGTATTATTATGCAAAGTGGCTTAATGTTTACTTTTGACTGAGCTACCAAAATATATCAATGCGAGATCAAAACAATAAGTATATCAAATGTAGGACATTGTCAGCTTGTAGTTGTCATCGACCATTTCATTGCACGGTGGATTTTTCTAGTAAACGAATTGAATCACGGAGACTAAGGAAGGAAAAGAGATGCATGATTTCACATTAGCCAACTGCAACCCATTTAATAACACTCAAAGCTCCTTATGCATATCATTACATGTATTGACATTTTGCTTTTCAGTGTTAGAGACCATTGCAAAGTTGTAGAAGGCCAGAAAATCGTCAGTTTATTAAACCAAAACGTTCAGATCAATCACACCAACTAAAAATTTCCAAAGAAGAGTTTGTATTTGACCTTGTCGATTAGCGTAATAAACCGTGGAAAATATCAACCAGAATGGATTCCAGGATTGTGGACGGAGAATCAATTCCACACGAGATCAATTCAAAATTTTGCATGGAAACCACATTATAAACCAGGTAAAAGAGTTACGTATGAGTTGAAGCTTTAAGGCAGAGAAAGGTATTCGAATTTTTGTGATGCTAAATTGAACTGTCGTTGTCGTGAACCTTTCGGAAACTTACTCGGAGTTAATGTACCTACGAGTCATTATTACTTCCTCGAAACCAATCACCGATGAAAGCAGAGTTAATAGAGGGTTCCCTCTATTAATTCTGATGAAAGTTATCAACCTTAATATAGTGGGAATTGCGTTCATAATAGTTTGTAAAGCATATAATTTTAGCACATTTTCTTTCAGTTAACTGTGGATTTTAAAATAACTCCGGGAAAGCGCATACATAGCGGACTGCAAGGGCATTTTCGAATGTATTGCGTTGTTGAGTAATGTAAACAAAAAATACTAGATGGCGTTCAACTGCACATCTAACCCTTCGTTTGATAAATCATTTAAGACCCTAGCTCAGTTCCTGTGAAATCTGTTAAATCTGTACCATAGAAGTTTTATAAAATTTAGCTGTTGGAAGAGAAAACACAAAAGTATAGTAAAAACTTAAAGCTGTGAGCAGTGGTCCGGAAATGGTAAAATTACGTAAATCGCGAGTCCATCGCTTTTACCTTGAAGGAACGTTTTATCGTCTAACGTTCGACGGGCTCCGGATCTAGCTGGTTCCTTCTCACTAAGAATGTCCTAAAACGTAGGAAATGTTATAAATTATAACATATCATGATGAAAGAATTACTTACCTTTGGTCCTACTTGCAAATGAGTTACTATTATTCTGAGGACAATTTTCAGTTCTTTAACCTCATTTCGATTTTATCGCAGTTTCTCACAAAACACTTTTATGACCTCTGAAAAAAACAAACAAACAAACAAAAAAACAGCCAACCATAACTTGAATTGTATAGATGATATATTTTCTTCCATCTCAAACACATCGAGAGAACGTTTAGTCCTTTAAAGGGTGTAACTCTTAAAAAATGAACGGAATCAGGAATTGAAAGTGAAAGTAATTTCTTTATTCAAATAAATGTAACAATGAACTCTTGCGAACCAATCAACGAGCGACGTTTAGTAATTATATTCAACAGATTTCAGTCCACTTCATCAAGTAACTGAGACAGGATCACAATACACCCTGAGTTACTGCTCTAAATTCCTGACAGTTTGCCAAGGCTTTTAATTGCAGTTTTGAGACTTTTTTTGTTTCGATTCAAAATTGGCAAATTCGTGGATTTTCCATCTCATCTGCGGTCTGTTGTACAATGTGGAGAGAAATTAGAAGATGACCAAAGCCTGACAAAGACTTCCTGTATTTCTGATTTCGAACGTGACTACACGAAATGTTTTTGTTTTTGTCTTTTTTTAGTTATAATCTGCATAAATTGATCCGCACAGAGATCATTTTCTCTTTGGTCATCTGCAAGTCTAATAAGATTAATTTCTTATATCATTTATGATCAAATCCCTTGGGGTGGAACAAAGAGCTCCCATGTGGGGATGGGGTTCGATCCCCGTGAAGCCTAAAGTATGGTTTATTAGGCAGAATTTTAGACAATTTTGGGGGCCACTATCATCGCCCAGGCAGATGTAACCTGAATTTTTACCTCGATCAGAAAATGACAGTGAATTGAACCAAATATCACTTCGATGACATTTGTGTTGAGCCATCCATGTCAAGGTAAGATACGACTGCAGACTGATGGACAACTCTATGCAGTCGATTCCCGCTTTTTCTTTGGCTAGTCTCGACCACATTTAAGGTTCGTGGCAAGATTCCTTGTCTTCCAAATAGAAAAAAAAAACAAAAACCATTGAGTTTCTTTAATTAGACCGGTTACCTAATGTAATCAAGGCATATTGGCACTTGTATTTGAACTTTATCTGCAAATTTCTTCGCAGCTTTTCTCTCCATCAAAACGCATCGTTTTTCGCTTCAAACTGTCCTTTGCTCTCAATTGATTGAATTACTTTCTTGGAACTGTAGAGCTTAACAAGGAAAAACCCGCTGAATGCCATAAAGTTTAGAAAATCTTGGTCAAAAATTTCTTTTTAGCCCCGTGATGTAACCCAGTCCACTTGGATAAAATTGCCGATGGACTGAGGGGGAATCCCCCGCCCAAGAAAAGGAATGTACATTGTCAGCACATATAGATTCCGTCTTCTGACTACGAGGAAAATGAGTCAAATTTATCTCAATTTCTGACAGAAAGACGTGTAAGCTGAAGTGTTTTCAAGGTAAGATATGTTTATGAATCCAGATACAGTGTAAATAGAAGTATTTTGGGCACAAACTCGTATCAGTCATAAACAAATTTAGCCAGGTTCAACTGTCTCAAACGTCCGGTCCTGGTTTAACGGTCTCTATTCCGTTTTAGGCTTTTACTATCCTAAGAAAGATAATTATTTTCATCGAACTCTTAAGTATTTGCACGAATGCTCGATAAGAAACATAATACGCGACGAATTATTCTCTTTTTTCATTTTGCGTCGATTTGATCACTTAACAGCTGCCTTCGATTCGATTCATTCGACATGTGATCACAAACACGATTATCATTGACTATCAAATCGTTACCCAAATCGGTCTTCTATGACTTGAAAACCGTTTTCCTTGGAAACATTGTCTAGTCTGTTTAAACATAAAATTTGATCAATCTTAACATCATCTCTCCGCAAACGATCACACGAGATATTAATATGCTAACGTAAGCTTTATTTTTTGCATAACAAACAACTCGATATTGCTTGCAAGTCTACAATCGATTGCGATCGTCATAAAGTTATTTATGAATGTACTGATGGTTTTTAAACAAGCTCACCTCATGGTCAAAAGGGATTGAGTCATACTTTCCGTCATCAACCTCAAACATGCAGATAAAAAAAGTAAATTATGTACAAAAATGCTGATTTTGTGCAGATTTAAGGACGAAAGAAAACGTTCAAAACAAGGAATATGATCCTTCTTTCGTTGTTCTCAAAAGTGAGTAAAAGGCCAATAAATTAAGGGAAACATTGAAGGAAAAAGAGACAAAAGGGAACGTTCCACGTTACATTTTGAAAAGCAACGAACGTCTGATTGCTCAAGCCTACGGAAATGGCTTCCATTCTGACAGGATATAGACCCCATGGGATTGCCTTTATTTTTCTTAGGCAAAAATGAAATTAAAAAGAGAAGTGTATCCTTCTGTTGCATGCAGACGTAGCATATTAGAGAGAAAAGAATATATTTTTCGTTGAAGCACTGAGAACTGAGAATTGACGGGTATATGATGCAACACGACATGCTCTTTGGCTGTCACGCAAGGTCAGCTTGCTTGTCTGGTCTTGTTTTTGTTTCAAAAGGGTAACTGAGCCCGCAATATTCCTTGAATTTTTTTTTTGGTGGACGACTGACGTAAGCAACGTATATTTATGGGTCACTTCAACCTTAAATTTTCTCATTGTGATAAATATGCATCTAATGAAAGAGGAAAGAAAACGAAACACTACGTCCTATTCCGTTACGCATTGCGTGACAACTAAAGACACACCTTGAAATAGAAGTCATTTATATGTGTTTATTTACAATAGAATTTGAAGTTAGATCGTGCGCAATCATCCAATCCACTGTCGGTTATCAAAAGCGACAGGTCTCCTTTTACTCTTAATTTACAAACCACCAATTTAAAAACAATTCAAAATGGAAGTTTTTGCAAAATTTACCAACACTAAAACTTACAAGATATGTCGCAAGATTCTCCCTCAAATAGATATATATATATATTGTGCATTACGCAGACTTCGTTAATTGTTAACCTCTATGAGGTCCCCGTGTTTCTTTTGGCAGACGTACAAGTTATTCACCGTACGTGTCACAAGCATTGTGTGTTACTACAAATGCGACAACGAGGATGACCTTAAAGTTGACTGACCTTAAAAAACAAAAAAACAAAACAAAAGTGACAAGTAATGTTGACGTGACTCACGCACAACCTTTCCCAAGTCTTTCCCCTCGCCTTTCCACTTCAATTCCATATGAGAGGTCAGAGAAGGGGAGATGTTGTTAATGCATGCGTGAACGATTACACGAGCACTTCACCGTGTACGTCCGCCAAAATCATCCGGTCATGTTTTAAAGACCTTCAAAAAATAATTGTACTATTTTTTATATATATATATTTTTATATACAATATGATGATTGTAGAACTTACGAGTACTCGCCTGAAAAATCGAAACATAGGTAGTCAAACACCCCAAAAAGATTTTTTTTTCTAAATTTTGGAAACTTGTGGGAACTATCGCTCTTTTTTTTAATCTTGAAAATTTAGAGTACGTTTTAAAGAATTTCATTTAAACTTCTTGTTAATCTTTACCATTCTAACTGGTCTATTCTTTCCACTTTTTTCGCCAACTTACCGAAGTTATAAGTTGTCGTCCCCTTCACTCGTTAGGGAATTTTGCACATCACAACGAGCGAATGAAAATAGAAAATAGCTAGTGTATGCACATGGGAGGTGTCCCATTAATTTGCTTGTAACAAGATAACTTTTCCCTCTCCTAACACCTCTGGCGTCGTATGTGACGTTATTCAAGTAGTGGAAGCTCTGTTGATAAACCTATGACTAGATAAAGTTTCAAACAAAATTAACGCCAGTACTTTTCACAGTGCGTTTCCATCGAGTGTCGCAAAAATCAAACAAAGTAATTCCACCATCCAATCATAGAAGAGAAAATTATCACAATAACCAATGAGAATATACTGTAAAAACAAGCTTAGGGACCTGTTTTTATATATCGCGGAAGGAGGGCTGGGAGTTGGAGGATTTTGATTACGTCACGATAAAATTTACCTGATCTACCCTTAGAGTTCTTTAATATTCTTACGACAGATCCCCCTCCGTTCCCACTGAAAACCAAGCAATCCCAAAAATCCTCCACCCTCCCCTCCCTTCTCCCCCCACCCTCGCCAGGTGATAAATAATGAGTGGTCCCTTAATGCTTGAGGCGCGGGAAAGGGCGAGTACCAAGGTAACGATTTATTATCATTATTATTTTTTTGCATCTCATTGGCTGAGAAAGTGGCACAAGATTTTTAAATCAATCACAGAGAAAAGTAGGACGAAACCATTTCATTTCCGGATTACTTCCGACACTCAATTGAAAAACGCTCTATGGGAAATCCTGACTTGTGTTAGTAGGTTGAACAAGAGTGGTCGTGTTTAACACGGGGCTGATAAGGAAAGCGCCGAAATAACTGGTTTCCTTGTGCATAAAGTAGGACTTTGTGAACGGGATACGCACAGATATTTTGTCACCGCTTTTGAGCAAGAACACCGCGCCGTGATAATTCGTGTTGTACTTTCTCTCCTCGCTGACGACACTGCTCAGACTGCGCATGACCGGCTCCTCGTTGATGTACGTGTAATGGCCCATGAGGAGAGTGTCCCCTGCGTAATAGAATAGTTGGCTGTACACGAAGTAGTAGCCGGTTGTGCCAATCACAAGGAAGCTGTTGCTGACGAATTTGATACTTCCGGTTATGTGGCCTAGTCTCCAGTTTGTGATGCGGTGGACTGAGGAGAGCGGAGAGAGGACAGTGTTTTAAAACTGATAGTAGAGGTGTGGCTAGGGATTAACCCCCCACCCTTTGCTCCTTGTGAAGAATGTGAATTTTCTAAAAAAGGAGCGACAAGTTTGAATTACCATGATAACGTCACCATTATTCATTAAAATTGTTGATTAAATCAAGTACGCATGCTCAATGTCGTCTCTCCAATAACGATGACGTTGAAAGTTGAAGATAAAGATTTTTTTCTATAACCGCAGTTCAGATATATGAATTTCATATATTCGTTTTGTTTGATTTATAATGGTAATTGAACTGAGTGGAGTGCAATTTGGGCTGAAATCATACGCGTGATTTCAAAATCAAAAGAGCACGCAGCGCGCGTTCGATTTGAAATCACAAGTATGATTTCAGACCAAAATTGCACGACACGGGGTTCAGTTAGCACTTCATTACATCCATTTTGAAATCGCCCAAATACAGGACTTGGTCAATTCAAATATTTTACTGATGCAGTACTGAGCCGGTTTTTAAATAATAAGGGGAACCGGAAACGCTTTTACATCTCATTTTGTATGCAAAACAGAAAGACTGACGTCAAGTGTAAAAAAACTCAGTCAAGCGTAATCTGATGCGATTTAGAGCAAAAAATGATGCGATTCGTGAATAAATCGCACCAATTAGAGCCAATCAGATTACAGAGACCACCAGTGATTTCAAAATGGATGTAATAAATCATCTTACGGGTTTATTTCGGACTAATTTGATGACCTGCCCCCAGTTGGCGTTTTAGCTCATTTGGTAGAGCGCTGCACTAGTATCGCAGAGGTCAGTGGTTCGAATCCCTTACAGGCCTGAATTTTTTTAGGTCTGATTTTCACTATTGCTTCAATAGTGCTCTTTACTGTGAGGATCGTCCACAAATTCGTTTGAATAATCACGTGATAGCTGACGAGACTGTTAAATAGCGTGCGCTTACAAAAACAAAGAAAAGAGCAAAGAGATTAGCACTAACATTTTGTTGTACCTCTTGGAGGATTAATGTGCTCACCATACCCAACGATGTGAGCCGAGTCTGTGGACTGAATTGAAAAACAAACAAAAAAAGTCGATGAGTACAACTAGCACAATTTTAGCCGTACCATCACGACTCAATTTCAACTAAAATAAAATCACTGACGGAGATTTAGGTAATCTAGAACTAGTCTGGCCAAAGGAGTAGATATAGCTAGAGGTATATTGAGGCACATCATCATCAAAATATACCAAACAATACTTACCTGAAACATTGAGCCTGGTTGGCCTGTTTTGAAAACAAAAAACAAAAAAAGAATTGTGAATGAAAGCTACTTGACTACATTTACAACTGATAGGCAGACACTTTTAATTCAGAAAGAAAAAAGAAAAACCATAAACAGGAAAATTTTAAAAACTTTGCCTCCGTATGCCTCTTTTCAGGCTTAGATTGTGTTATTGCCTTGTTTCTTTTTAGTCGCAAAACGATTCAGCTCTCGACAGAAATCACTCTACTTGTATGGAATAGAAAATGGCGCAGATGAGTGCAACGTTCCCAATGAAATAACTTTTATTACAACTGCTCTGTTTTCTGCAGGTACATATTGGAGACGTGCGCACTACCTGGAGGCCCAGGCTCCCCTCGCTCACCTGAAAAAGAAGCAACAGAGACGTGGGTAAGAGGTTAGTCTTCCAACGGCTAAAAGCTGTCTGTAGAAAATATCTTTTCTTGAGGGGTAAGGGGTGGGGATCAATCAAGACTACTACTTTAAAGTAAGGGAGGGTAGTGTGAGTCCATGTGTAGCAATAGACAAGATTCCTAGTGACAGTCTTGATGGTTGTCTTTATAAAACAGATACAGCTACCGTCACTGATTGAAGTAAACACAACGCCCGTACCCATGTTCCCTTTCTGTCCATCCCTTCCCGGTGGTCCAGTGTTACCGAGTGCTCCTGTGTCACCTTTAGGTCCTGAAAAAAATAAAACACAAACGAAGAAGTATAGTGCTTTCGGTTTGGTAACCGCGCTAGTTTGCTATGTAAACATGTTATACTCAAGTTGTCAATATTAATATAAAATCCGCAAACGATTATGATACTGATGATACTAATGATAACGATCGATTGTTTATGATAATACCTATAATCTTTTATGCCCGTGATAGCCGCTCGTAGGCTACCCAAAATCATTTTTCCACTCTATCTCAACTGGATGCGGCATTTTTAAGAAACCCACACACTTCTTTTCTCTCGTTTTGAAAACAAATCGTTTTTACCTGTCCTTCCCTTTCTTCCCCTCGATCCTGCATAGGAAAAAAAAAAACAGATTTTCATTCTAATAAATTGGAGCCTACGTCGAAATGAATATGATGAGTTCCCAATTTACTCCCTAGTCATGCACTTTTACAGCTAGTGAATCATAAAGGCGCGCGTGAAGGATAAGATACGGATTAAAATCAGAGAGAGAGAGAGGTGAAAAACTGAATTTTCCATCGGCCCGTAGTGGTAATTAACTTTTATTTTCAACGTGCTAAGTTTGAAGTCGACAAATATCGGTTCAAGCAGCTTCTACAAAGGAAACTAATTTCAATCATGTATAACAAAACAGCTTTAAAATATGTTTAAGTTTTGGCGTAACTGGGGAAATAGATATGAAATTCATATGTACTTACGGATGACTTTTCAAAATAATATTATCGACTTTGTATTCATGTTACATCACCTTTCTGTCCTTTTGGTCCCCGCTCTCCTTTGGGACCTAAAATGGATGGAGAAACTCAGTTTTCCTTAACAAAATGTGCTGTTTAGCGTAAGTGTAAGTGTTTAGTCAGTTTGCGTGACAAGGTATCTTTAACAGTAAGTGACGTTTAGTCATCGCGTGAAGTACCAAAACATGCAAACTGACATTAAAATTCGTTTAAGACTCATTTATAGGACCCCACCTTCTCTGGTACATGAAGCTTAAAATCATTGCCTTCATCAAAAAGAACTGCTTTCAAAACGGAATTTCAATTTTGCACGGCAAAGTGTTATTGTTCACAGACATAACTCAGGATTGACACTCAAAGGTCAAGAACGTGCCAGACCACATCAAAAATGTATTGTCTTACAGGAACAATATCCTTCGTAAGCTAATAAAAGCTTTGTTTCGATATATATAGTTTCAAAATAAACCACTAGCCAAGTTGACCTAATGCCCGACCTTAAGTTATGTAATTATATCGCACAATAGCAAAATTTGAACCATGCAGACAAAGCTATAGAAAATAAATAAGGCTTGCAGTGAAAACTCCTATTTACTTTCGTATAGAATTAATTGGAAAACGAACAGCCTTCTTACTTTGGCCATTCGCCAGGTTGAGTTTTACACCTCGATCAAAAAACAATTATTGGTGTGAGAGAGGATTTCCGCGAAATACGCCCTTCATGGAAGCCAGCCAAAAGATCGAGTATAGGCATGGTTTAATTTGATAAGCATTCTGAACAAAATTGAAAAAGTAACACAGTTTTCCAATCTCTTCTTGTGGGCTATGTATTTAGACGGAGAAAGTGAAACACCTGAGCTAAGAATGCGACCAAATTGATCATGACTACCATTTTGAACAAGAAATGCAATTGAATTGAATTGGAGCCTAGCGTTGTTGGGGGGGGAGGGGAGGAAGGGTGGGAAAGGGGAAAATTATGAGAAAATACCTATTCCTAAGGGGGAAACAATGAGTTTGACTTTGAGATACTTCATCGCCCTGAAAAAGTGTTTTAAACGAAAAATGTTTTACTAACTCCTCATTGTTTCTCTATAACCCTGGACTTTGAGATTTTTTGGCTGCTCGTCTTACTCATACAGAATGAACCTTGCTGCTCACTCGCAGCTCCCAGATTCATTACTACGGGGAAGGATATTTTGAAGGGAAAAGTGGGGGCAGGGGTATTTTTACCACCCCGGTGCACTAGCACTCTATCTAAGGCCGCTTAATCACACCCCAAGCCGGTGTAAGCTTGTACCTTCTGTCCCACTTTTTTGTTAATTTTGTAGCTGTATATAAACTGAATGAAAATCCCAGTGATTTATACCTCGCCTGCAGCGACATGAATCATTCTTTGTTGTGCCAGTGTTCCTCTTCTGTCTCATCTGCTGAATTTCGCTTTCCTAAACAATGTTCAATGCGGAAATGACCTTTAGTTTTCCCACAAATAAATATCTAGGTTGGTTTTCGTGGAGATACCTAAGTGGACGGCCTCTAAGTTAGGGTAGAAATGATGTCGATTGATGACGTTGAAGATATTCTGTAAACCCAATTAAGCGTCAAGGCTGGGTCGATGTGCTCTGCGTTCTTAAGTGGCTGCCAAGCTTTGCCAATTGTGCGCGTAAATTGTGCGGCCTGTTCGTAAGACCACTAGGTCGTTCAAAATGAAAATTGTCATTCAAGAAACGTAAAAACGTCAAACCTTCCATTTCGTAAAACTCTGATGAGCCTCTTGCGTTTCGCTGCTCGAGAAATCATCTCCAACGGTTCTTCGTTGGATCTGCGCTGTGACGTTTTCTAAGTACTCGATTGTCTGCTGTTGTTGCTCAAAGCGAGATTTCAGCACTACAATCTCACCAATACAATACAGTAACGCAGGGAATAGACCGACTAATACCGTTACAAGGACAGTAAACGTCCAAAAAGGCAAAATAATGGCCTGCGTTTGTGACTTCTGCATGTTTGTTGTCTGTAAGGTATCAGTGATTTCCTAGAAACACCATCGGGAACGTCAACATTGATTGAAGAATTTTTCTGGCAAAGTCCATTATGTCACGTGACCGCGAGTCATTCAACGGCCTATTGTTCTCAACTTCGTTAGCTGATTCGTTATATTTAATTTCTTATGTTCAGTGCATTCACTGGATAGGCTGCCAGTTTGTAATAACAAGGGTCGGGACAGTTAAGTTCGGTTTGATATCAACATTTCACAAGCTTCCGAGAAATCACGGCTAGGTTTGTCACGCAATATGATAACGGTAACGCTTTTGGTAGCGACAGCATACGATACCAAGTTAGATAGCGATTCAATCAAGGGTCGCGGAACCAAAGCCAGAATAATTCTAACAGCTAATCAGGGAAACTCAAGATAAAAACAGGAGAACTGTCTGAAGCTAGTCTTGCATTTGATCGGTTGAACAGGTGGTGCGAAATTTTTTGACCAACAAAGTGGGGAAGTAAACCAAAACTAGCGCGATCGTGGGTTACTGTCGATGTACAAATGAAAATTGCACCGAAGAAAGAAGTTAAACTTTTCTCATTAGAGTGGAACAAATAGAGTACAATCTGCGTGAGGATTTCAGGGTGTATGCATACTATATCATCTGCGCTGCAAAACTGAATCTACTGGCGAGCGACGCCACTTGTAAGGTTCCTACTCTGTGTCCTGCATACTACGAGAAACGGTCCAGGCAAGTTTCATGGCGATGCGTTTTTTCCTCGGAAGTGAGAAGGTTACCTTTATGAAGCACCAACGCAACCGGAACAAAAAGCTGTTTTCAAGCGAAAGTGTAGTGATTTAATATGTTTTGAGAAATGAATCGGAGACCGATGGAAAGTGATGAAGGTCGATGAAAAAGAAGATATACTCAGCAAAGAGACGAATGTACTTAGTTTTGTTCAGTTTTTATTCCCAATCCCAGTATTTCTACATTTATTCCGGCGGTATATCATTTTTAGGGTCTGGTTTCTTATCCAGACCAGCGGTAACATTTTTATTTCAAAGTTTCGCCATTTAATGATGCACAGTTGGTATTAGAATGCTCGGAAAAGACTTTCAAGTGAGTTTGGCTGCACCTGGCTGGTGTTCTTTGGAAGACCATTCTTGTCAAATCCCAGAATCCGCCTCTTACCACTGAGGTATGACTTCAAATAAAAGAATTCGCTTCCAGCCTCTCTGGGTACCTCTTTAAACAAAATTTCAGGATAAACACGTTTCACTTGATCCAAGGAAGTGAGACTGCGCAATGGTTTCGACAAAGTCTAATGGAGAGGAAACATTGCATTAATTCTAAAATCAGACCCAAGTTAATTTGTTAGAAAGTCTCTAGGAAGCATCCGCATACTGTATTCAGCTAATAATTCCCACCGTTCTTAAATGAATAAAAATCCGTGTTATCTCATTCTACTTCCAAATGGGTTGAAAACCTTGCAAAACTAATTCAGTTCGGTGGCTATGAAGAGGAATTGAACGTTCTAAACCAAGAAGATTTGCTGCTTAAATATTCATGGAACTCAGTATTCTCACCAGGGGATGGGCCATCAGAAAAGTGATGGAGGGGGGGAGGTGGCGTTAAAGAGTCCAAGAGATACATGAATGCTTCGGTTTTTTTGGTTTGTTTGCTGTTTTTTTTTTTTTTCTGTATGCTAGGTTTGAAATATTTTTCGTTTTTTCTTAATCCATGGGGAGCATTTTTCCTATTGTAAATGGTATATTTAGTAATTAACTTGAATTTTCCCAACCCCCTCTTTCACCCTCACGTTCCATCCCTGTGGGGGTAGTGATACCTTTACAAAGACGGTGTCATCTGCTTTGTTTATGGCCAATGCGGTTCCACCATTGCTACTCTCCAAAATAACAATTTTCTCTAATTTGTTATTAAGCATCGAATGGACCTTCAATTTAGCTGTTAAAAATAGCACAACTTGATATTAATGGAAAGACAGTAAAGAATTTTTTATGGATTTACTTTGTTTTGTTTTGTTTTTTCGTTTTCGTAAAAAAAAGATAGATTTTTCTTAGAAGTGAGTGCACCAATAAGGGAAGACGTAACTGACGGGTGACGTAAAGAATGTTTTGCAGAATACTGGCTACATAAGAGAGCGATGGGTCATCTCAGGGAGGGTACATAGTGCTGCCCTAGATCCACCTCTGAGGCGGCGCAATGATAAACAGGATTAGACCAGATTAAGATAGATTATGCACTCAACACCAGAATAAGAAACTGCAGAGTTTGGACAATAGATATAGACTGGTTGGTCTTCAGGAGCTGGAATTTTTTTTGAGTAAAACAATCCACAGAACGTAGATTTTTGGTTTGATAGATTAAGTATCATCACACACTGAAAGCGTATAATGGGGTGGCTGTGAACATCAGAATTCACTGAGGGCGTAAAGACTTATTCTTAAGGGTTTCCTTCAAAGGAGATAATTCGAAAAACTAAATGATAAGATTTATGTAAAGCGGAAAGTTTGAATATCAAGCCTACTTGTAGATGTTAGTAGAGACTGTAAGGTGAATTGTTGTTCTTAAATGGCCATGGTAAGATTTGCTTCTCATCCACACTGACTGCTGCATGTGATTCACATTCAGTTTTTGTCTCTTGTTTATTCGCCAAGATAAAAGCTGTGAACATCTGTTTACATTTGAATATCTACTTACATTTTGGATCTGTACCAAGGGCATATGCAACCACAGATGTTCCGTCGATCTTAAGGTAGTGACCTGCGATAGGACCGTTTTGTTTTTGAGACACGTACTGGAGACCATTTCTGCGGTACCACATGTCGTTCATAGGCTTAGTGATTTCCTCAATGCTTTCCTAAAACATTAGTGTTACCTTTTATTAACAATCCTTCAGTTGGCGAATCCATCAGAATTTTTCAAAACATATCTCTTACTGATCATAGATATGACCTCATCCTTGGATGAACTGAGTACCATCTTAGGCAGAGCGTTGATTAAAAAAAATGATCGAGACAATAACAGGAAATATTTTATAGCACACCACATAAACATGGAAACTGTGGTCAGTAGATGACTTAAGACTAATTTCATCTGTTTCGTTTAAGCCAAGTGTGCATTGTTTCTGTTCGGAAATCAAGAATGAAACGTTCTTGGAACTCACAGCGCGCGCTTTTTGCTAATCTATCACTACGGTGGGAGACGTCGCCGTAACTCTTTAGCATGCGCGATAAGCTGCATGTGGGGTGAGTGATGACAAAGTATTGCAGAGTGTGAAGAAACACAGTGGTCAAACGTCTGTGTATGTGTGAATAGCGATGTGGCTAATCATAGGCAGCGTGTTTCAGAAGTGTCAAAAACATGTTGTCTTATATAAACTAGAAAAAAACACGAGGCAGTAAGTCACATTGCTTTAGAACGATTAGTCACGATTAGCACTGCTATCTGCGGAGCCAGGGGAATAAGGATTTATTGTCAAATAACAAATAACAAGTGAAGAACCTGGTATCGTTTTTATAAAGTTGAAAACAAAATGGTAAATTAGCAGGACACACGTAATTTCCTTTTCTCTTTTCTCTTTTACGTGACAAGGGTTATGTATCGTGGTTTCCTTTGAAAGGGCAAATTGACTCCCTTGCGCATGTCCAACGTTTGACCGCCTTATTGGGAAAATTTCCAAATGAGTAGTTTATTAAGAGATAAACACTTCGCTGGCCCAGATAAAAAGGAAACAAGGTAAAGAATTCTCGAATCTCTATAAAGTACTGCGTGATTGCAATTTGTAGATTGCATCGGCTCGATAAACTTTCGAGTACTTTGAGCGTTCAGTTCTTCGTTTCTCAACACATGTGAATTGGCGTTTGGACATTTGGACAATTCCACGGCCGGTAAACATTGTTTTCAAGTGTTGTGTCGAAAAGTGTTTTATAACAGAAGATTTGTGCTGAATCGAATAACCTTTAGAACTAACAAGAAAAAGCTGCACAATTTTCTAGACGTCAACTGAAGTAAACAACGGCCGAGCATTGATGGGTTCACGAGAAATTCATAACCTTTTTTCTCTTGAGAGAAACAATAGCTCTTTTATGAAAAATAGGCAACTTTGTTTTGCCTCAGTTTACCCATAGTTTTCGGGTGGCTATCGATTTTCAAATCTGGGTAAACTAAAGAAATTTGCATCGTGACCTCAAATTCGATCCGTGCGCGTTTTCGCGCTAGAGAAAAATTAATTAATTTCGGCTGCTTTTAATCTTGATATACATATTTATCACTTTAACTACGTAGAAACGTCTGTTATTGACCCTTTTTGGTTTCATATGAGCATTTGTATGGAGACATAAGATCTTAAAATTATCTACTGCACATTTGTATTTGCTTCTCCTGTCACCAAAAAAATCCTGATTCATGCAAAGGTACGTTAAACACTTAGTTCACAGCACAGAGACAGTCAGCCATCAGGATATCAGCCCTGTTTATATGAGATGATAAGGGGGAAAGTTTCCAGCTCACCTTTGCAGGTCCTTCGTTTACATCATCGTATCCTGTGTGAAGTATAGAGAAGAATCGTATAAATGATATTATTAAAAACTGGATCATTGGATAATGCAATTCAAGACTTTTCATTGGCTTAGCCATTATGGTATATGAGCCAATATACCATAAACTACGATATGGTAAGCGTATGCATAAGCTTAGAATTGAAAGGGAGCTAAAAATTTAATAAAATTTAATAATTTAATGTAGGGTTTTTAATAAAACAATTATTCCACTCGCGTTTGTTGGATATGAGATGATTATAGCCAACTCGGCGCTACGCGCCTCGTTGGCTATCTATCATCTCATATCCAACGCGCGCTCGTGGAATAATTGTTAATTTCGTCCAAGCTGTCTTCACTTTTACATGGATCAGAACCGACGGTCGAGAATGAATGAATGAATGAATGAATGAATGAATAACTTTATTAACGTGTCAATCGTTCTAGTTTTTACAAATAAAAACTAATTGGGGACGCCTACTACTTAGACTAAACTAATAATTATAATAAAAATAAGAAGAAAAACTATATACAAACAATATAAAATTGATAAAATTAAGTTTTACATAACTCACAATTTTCACAATTATTTTTCGATGTAACATTTGATAGGTCAAGGACACTGACTTGATTTTTAAATACAGTTAGAGAGTCAGCCATTTTGATTGATTTGTGGAGCTTCGACCAAATGTAAGGTCCTATGTACCTTAAGCTATGTCTTCCGTATGTAACCGTGTTGTATCTTGGTAAGGAGAAATCGTCTGCACTCCTAAGATTGTACCTACTTATGCCTACTTGTACCTACTTATGCCGCAACTAAAAAGTTCAGAGAAAGTACTAAAAGCAAAACTACTGTGTAATTTAAGAAGTATTCAAGTTGTTTTTGATAATTTTTGGAAGCGGTAGTCGACGGCCATGAAAGGAAGCGAAAAAACTGTGGCGAAAAATGTCAGCATATGGTAGACAAGTAGTTAATGTTAAACATACCTTTCGCTACGGTGGGATTCAAGGACAACTCCAGCAAGAAGAATGTAAAACCAGTCATGACAAGAAACGATAAGCTTTTTTCAGCCATTTCTTAGTTCTGAAACACATGAAAGGATTGGTGAAACCATCGAATTACTCAGTTTGAATCGTAGTAGACAACGTATTCAACTCACGATTTGGCAGAGTTCCTGAGTCTGAGTTTATCCTTTAGCCTAAGTTTATTCTCAGATATTCCCGAGAGCAAGTCCTGTACTACTCTTGGCTGATAACGAGTGATGTTGCCTTCTGTCGTGTGGGGTTTTAAAGCATGTCGTTTGAGGTTATGTCATATCATGCCATGTCAACTTACGTCAAATCTTGTCGTGTGGTATGTCAATTTATGTAGAGTCACATCACCTCGGTAGTCCATTTAATGAAACGCTTGTCAATTTTACCATGGGCCGATTTTCAGATAAGTAAGTCTTATTTCATCAACGGAAAGTGTGACACAAGCCATTGACATTTTGACGCTTACTGTGACAAAAAGGCCGTCAAAAATGCGAAAAAGCCACTAAAGAAAATGAACAACCTGTGTAGCGTTATGTGAATCATGTGTAAGATATTCTTTCCGTTTTTCGGTAGCTTGCTTGGGTAAGTGAGATTTAGTTCAGATAAGAATCAAACAGCAATTTATATCGCAAGCAATAAATATTGCTGGAAGGAATTAAACGTGTTTGTAAAGAGTTGTATTGTGGTATCTAATGATAACAATAGCATTACACCTAGAGGTAACTAAATTGCAAGCCACGTCAACAGAACTGTTCCCCTGTGAAATGATTCAAAAAGCAGATCATACACCGTACAAAAGCTGCCTTAATCCTAAAAAGCTTTGAAGCGAAACCGATTACTTCTGGCCAAATATCAAATTCTGCTTTCATTACCAGAGAGCAGAATATTGAATAGACTTTTCTGCTCTTCCATCGGCTGGTCGTTGCCCTGTGGAAAAAAAAAGGCTGAGTTCAGCGGGTTCCTTTAAAGCGACATTTTTTCTGAGAAAAGAATGATATCGACATTGGTTATCTCCCTCAATTAAGCACTTTCGATGAGTTTTGCGACCAAAAGTATGGCATTTTTTTTTAGAAAAACTTAGTCTCCCATAGTTGTAGTGGATTTTACGGAACTGTTGCGAAGGACTTGAAGTATTTATGTCGGTAGTAAGGGTTAATTTGCTTACCTGTACTCATCTGAAAAGGATGTGTCTTTATTAATAACAGAAACGAAACAAACTGCGTGCGAACAACAGACAAAGTAATTTAGAAAATGAATTGAAGGCCGATTAGAATCAAACTACAGTTGTAAGCTCTATTTCAGAAAGCATTCATATGTAGCCATATTGGTTGTTATATTGTGACTCAGCTTACTAAAAAGTTCTTTGTTACCCAGTTGTTTGAACATTCAGCTGCGAAATCGGAAGCCTAAGGCTTAAATCCTCATGGGAGAATAAACTACTTTCCAAAACTTAGATCATCCTTATGTAGCTTCAACTTGACTCGACACAAAAAGCTAGACATGTTCTGCCCGCCAGAACAGGTCACTGATGTCCTTTTGACGGTTTACGCGTTGAAACATTTTGAGGCTCCCACTGAAGTAAGAAAAGAAAACCAATCACGAAAAAAGACCATATCCAAGTTCCTATGTTTGTTTATTGTGTGGAAATTAAAGGAATAGAGAAAGATTATAATATTAACTGGAGCTCCAGCTGTCCCTTAATTTTAAATGTTCACATTATTAAAATACCCGTGAATGGCCACTTAGAATTGTAAGTCGCTGATTTTTTATTCTGCTTTGAATAAGGTTCTTTTTTTTTTTTGACAGGTTATACGAAGTAGAATTTTGAGGTTCCTACTAAAAGAAAACTCTAACGAGCAATAAGATCATCTCAAAACTCCTTTGCATTTTTGAGTTCTTATGTTTGTTTATCGAGTGCAAATTTGAGGAATTGGTAAAGTTTATAACATTGTCAGAAGCCCCCAATGTCTCATTTTGGAACGTTTGAACATTTGAAATTCCTGTAAAGGCACACTCAGAATAGCCAGTAAATTTGGTTTACTGCGCTAAAACCTTAACGAACCATGCATCTTTATTTCTTACAGATTGTTTAACTAAGCCTTAGTGGCTTGGACGACGCACGGTTATAAAGTTGTTGTGATGATGGAATGCAATCGAACGTTTTTGAGTCGCTGTTGGAGGTAAGTACTCGACAGTCTTGCTGTTACATGCGATAGTCTGGACTCACTGTCTTAGCTCGACTGGACTTAAGATCTTCGAACCACTACTCTGATTTGTGTAGGGAAAAAAATGGCCTGTCAGGCTGAGATTTAGTTAGGAAAATTGGGAACACAATTGAGGAAATTAAATGGTCGCTAGGAGTTTGATTATGGCAAGAAAAACGATTCTAGTTTAGAATATCATATATGAAAGGTAAGAATCTTAGTCTTCGTTTAGGAAGAACACTGTATTTGTACATGATGACTAAACGAATATTTTAGAAGTGCGACGTATAGCGATCAATTAAAATGGATCTATCAGTTCAGTCACGTTCTCAGAGCTCACTTAAGGGAATCGCATTTTGTCAGATTTAGAGCCGTACCTATAGCTATACAGAATTCATTCAGCGGTATCCATGAAATAACTGATCTGACCGAGATGTAACAGATGAGGTCGTTCACAGGTTATTCCCGGGTAGAAATTTGATAATAGTCAGAGTAATCAACTCGAGTTTGGGTTGTCTAGTAATTATAGAGTTTGACCCCTTGCAAACTGTCCCAGTCTTTTTCAAAGGTAGGAACGCTCACTCAAATGGCTCTAAATATTTCGCAATGTTGTCTGATTCCACTATTGAAATTGGCATAGAACCAAAGGTAAACCCCAGCATATTTTCTTCAAATGTTTTTAATTTTCGTATAGTGCTATTGCTTTAGAAGTAGCTTATCAAATCATGGTGTCTAACAGCTTTTAGAAAAGAAATGACCTCAAGAAAGAATAGTAGTACAGACTCATTTTCTGCTCTTTCTCATGCTGTGTTACATCTATGACATCTTACTTTCTTGTCGTGCTTAAGGTTTTAACGCGCGTTAGTAATTGATGATTACTCAACTATTATTACTACAAAACTACAAAATCTAGGCAAACATTAACTCGTAGTAAGGAAAAAAAAGAAACCCAAAATGCTTTTTGAGTTGCTCTAGATAAGGAAGACTCCAAGAAATGAGCCCGTCCCCGACATGTAGTATTGACCAGTGGCTGTTGGCTTCACGGCAATTGTGTCATGCGCACGCAGATAAAAAGCACCGCCATGATAGCGACAGGCGATACTTGTGTCTTGTCGGCCAATCACGGATCTTATCTTTTGTTCTTGGTTGATAAAATTACGATGGCCAGCTGTTCCCGGGTTTCTGTTTCCAGAAAAGCACATTTGGCTGTAAATGAAGTACAATCCATCTCTCATCACCTCGACACGACCCACACTGGGACGATAAACAATGTTGTTTCCATTGTTGTTTCCCATGGTCCATTGTGTGATGGCATCCGTTTCTTAAAATACACAAAACAAAGAAGTGTCACAGTCGGTATGATATTGGTCCTGAACTTTTTATTCACGAGGAAACTTGATAAAACAATTTCTGTCTGGGACAGATTCAATTCTTGACGGAATATAGATAGGATTTTTTTTTCTGTAAGCTGGTAAGCAAGAGGAAAGGACTTAAGACCATTTGGGGACAGACTGATTCGTTTAAAATATTTCCCTGACTAAGCTCGTTTTCTCGACCAAAGAGAAGCTCACTCGAACCCAGTATCCCTCGTTTTCCTGACCTTTTTGTTTGAGTTACGGTTGTGCGGCATTTACAAGGTCTATTTAGCAACCTCGACTAGGGTTCTTTTAATAGATCTCAGTCTCCGTCTTCAAAAATACTCCTTGAAGGAAATCTTGTACAGATAATTTACCTTTCAGTTCATATCTGCGTCCATCGCCATAGAGTAGGATGTTTTCAGGAACCTTCAAATACAAAACACACATGTATTAGAAACGACACGCAAATGAATGATTTTACGTTAATATTCCGAATTGAAATTTCCTTAAAATATTATGAAATTCGCTACGGCCTCCTCTAAATCGTTTACATTGTGAAAAGAAAGGTTGTATACCGTTTTTGTTTCTGTATTGGTTATTGGAATTTACATTAATCGTCATTTGATGTCAATAACACCTCCACCACTGGCAAAGAAAAAAAACGGTTACGAAAACAATCTGAGCCAGCCAAACTCCGCCGCCACGCCACATGATCTAATTGAGCATTATTATCACCAGTCCCCTTCGATTCTTTTGATGAATCTCGCCGGAAGACGCGTCGTGTGTCAAGATCAGAAAACAGCCGGGCAGGAGACTAAATAATCATTAAAGTATAGTATAATATATAATAAGGATTAAAGTAGAGTATAATATAGAGTAATGATTAAAGTATAGTATCACAGATCAGTACACTATGAAAGTAACAATAAACACAGAAACATCAAACTATAATTATGAACACTTTGTGAGGCAGTGTTTTGTCGAACGATTCCGGCTTGCCATTTCTTTCAGAGGAGTGATGCGCTATGATTACGCTTTCGTACTTACCAAGGATTGTCGTTGCGCTGGGAGTCCTGTGTACGAAAGGAAAGAAGAAAGAAAGGATTGAAATCTTACTGTGCAGTCATATACTGTCAAGAATATATAGTCATGACGCGATTAATGGGGAAATGAATTAACGAAATTAAACGTAATCAATTAAAGATTCCTTCGTTTAAAAAGAAATAAACGAACAGGAAGCGAGCTGCAACTTAGGAAAGAATGATATGATGTCCGTAAAAATGTTGCTATAAACAACGTAAAACATATAGGTCGACTTACGAGAACGATGTTTTCTGCTACCAAGTTTTTTCACCTCCTGACGAAAAAAATATCCAGAGCAAAGACACTTTTAGCTATGCGAGCAAATCGCGTTTCTACGTAAACAATATATTCAAAGTAGGCTTGATTTTGAAAAACTATCATGATTTCCTTTAATAGTTTTGACAAAAACACCTTTATTTCAGTACATAGGAAGCTGGTAGTTGATCATTTACATTTCCACTTTATCTTCTCCAACTGTAATCAAATTTGTTCGATTCTATTTGTTCTCTTTATTTGGGTGTGTTCCATCTTAGCGAACTAAAATGGTGTTCAGCTATTTCTTTCTTATTGAGGGAAATGATGTTTGCTATAGATTCAAATTATCTTGACAAGCTTCGGTTAAAAAAAAAAAATTAACCAATTTACGAGAGAAACTAGCGTGCTTCGATGATTCTTTAATGATAATTACAAGATGTTCCATCGCACCTCTCTGCCTCTGACAGATCTTGAAAACGCGTTCCACCATTTAAGGGGCAGGTCTAAACATCTACGGTATCTCAGCCATAGAATTCATCTTTTTTCCAAGTTATTTTTCGTTGGAAACTCTTAGATGAGTAATTTTAAGTGGTTCTCTGATTTGACAGTGGCTAGGTTAGATGAAATAGACTTTGGTTAGGGCTAGGTTAACTGTTCACCAACCTTTCCATCAGCCACGTTATTATCTGAAGTGGCGAATCGTTCCTCTCCTGAATTGTTCGTCTCAGTTCTTGAGTTAAATTCTTTATCAAGCGACAACACACGCTTGAAAGACTAGACACTGAATGCAAAAGACAGACAAACAACGAACGACAAGAAAACACACCAACATATCAAGCGCGCTGATGTCTGGTAAGAAGGGCCCCTCTTCATAGTATGGGGATTCTCCATTCTGAGCTGAGATGATCTGACCAGGACGGGCAGATGGACTGAATGAACGTTTGCCGAACTGCGCTTGTTATATACCCTGCTTTTGCCACTGATAGTTTCAATGAAAGGCTATATCGCTTTCCATTGTACAACCAAAAGTTACAAAAATAGATAAATGAACGATTTCGATTCAGATGGGAAACAGCTTAAGGGAACTTTTTAATTTGTCTTCTTGAGTTTCTGTTCCCTACTCGCCTCTTTGGATGATGGCAATATCAGTTTCTACTCTGTCAGTCTTGTTGCATAGAGGAAGGAAGGAAGGAAACGTTGTAACGGGTAGAATGTGTGTGCTGATGATAAGACAGCTCTATTGAAATCTAAAATATTGTCGGTATGTGCGATTGAGAGAGATTCTCCCCATGAAATTGTTGATTTTGTGTCTCTACCATAGCCCAGGTTGCTTTCAAAATCTCCCCCCTGAGCAATTCATTGATATTGCAGTGAAGTTTATCTATAATTATTTCCATTATTTCCGCTTGAAAGGAAAACATTTTTGCACCTTTGGCCTTTACACGGAAAAATCTAAATATTTACAATGGGTTTGAAATAACATCTTAACATACCGTGAACAAAGTAATAGTTCCGTGAATCAATCAAAATATTTAAGGGGGCTAAAGAAACTGTAATACCCTTGTAATACCCTCTAATACCCCTATCAACTGCGTTGATGGGGGTATTACAAGATAAATTGGTATTAACAACTGAGCTGATAACATAAATTGGCGGCTGCAAAGAATGACAAGGCTCTAGTGAGGGCGGGGCTAACGCTCGAAACGACAGCTTTAGAAATTCTTTAAGGTAGCCAATTTGCATTATCTTCTCAATTCATATAAACAAATTATCGATTATTTTTTTGGGGGGGATAACTTATTCCTCAGGTTATCGATTCCTCCCCCCTGCACAATACATAGCTTCCCCCCTCTTTTCAGTACTCTCTGCATGCAGCCACTTATGTCATCTCGACAAAACAACTTACCAGCTGTATCAGCCGTTGCGGAAGTATTCCCATCAATCGCCGTAAATAAGTTGAATCTACCGTATTATATAAGTAGAATCAAAGTGCGGATTACTTTTGCGCGATTTACCCCCAAACGCTGTTCAAAACTGGTCTCCAAGAAAATCAAGGAGAACTTAATCTAGAAAATGCAGAAGTTTTGGATGAAGATTCGGTTGGGGATAACGCGTCATTTTCGTGCGTGGTAGTAAAATGCCTGAAGGATAGACAGAATAGTCTCTATTTGACTTAAAGATATGCTAGGTTTGTCTTTGAACTTCATATGTTCCTTAAACAGTCGACAGTTTTCCTCCATGTTTGTTCCCAGAAAGCCATACGCAACAAATTTAAGAGCTCAGTTTTACACCAAGCTTGGGTTATTAAATGTGAGTTAAAGTTTGGTCTCCTGTGACGTAATTCTCTGTCTGTTAGGGCATAAATGAGACCAAAACAACGCTAAAGCAAAAACCCGGAAAATGACACTTTCATAACACAGTAATACTACATGTTGAGTTCGACTTCCGTTTTGGTTTCATTCCAGTGTTGTTAGCTTTTTGCAGTTCGTTTTGATTCAGTCGGCAAAGGAAAGGAATCAATGTCTTAAAAGTGATAAACCCATTAAAAATAGAAAGTTGAACGGAAAGCCATGCTTAAAGATAAAACTATTACAAAGAGACTGGCACTGAACCAAATACGATCAAAAGCCCATAATCCGCTTTACTATTTCTAGAGTATTGCAACGTTCTATTTAAAGTAATCAAAACAACTGTATAGAGAAGTGAAAGAAGGGCTGCTGCCAATTTTGAAAACGGGCCACTTTTCGGTAGAGATTCCGCTTTCAGTTTCTGGGTAATTAACAGTCATAAATGGAAAGTAAAAATACTGTTTCCATTCACTTTTTAAACGACCAGAAATCAGACTAAACTGAACCCTCGGCAAATTAAATGCCGCGATATCGGATAACTAACACAGTTCCGAATTTCGTATAGCCATCCCATTTCGGCTAAAGACATAGTTTGCTGTGCATGAGAGAACAAATTAAAAACTCCGGATTCGGATGTTGTCGAATTTAGCCTGCATGGCCCCTGAATAAGACCTTTTCAGATTTCCTTCCAACTCCCCTCAGGTGGTTCCATATTGTTGATGGAGTTACGGTAAAAGTAGGTGAAACCTCGGGGATGTAAGAAATGCAATGAGACAGTCTCATTCTTTTCTGAAAACATGTAATACTAATGAAGATATAAAGTAAAGGCACACATGGACACTCTCACCCTGGCGTAAACAGGATGTTCAATTACACGAGCTTAGTTAACAGCCTGGCTACTTTGAATTTCCTGTTTCGCAGCAGAAGTTCATCCGACTCTTGCAAAGCATCGAAAGATCATAAGGTTTAGTTCTTAATGGGAGCGCTCGAGCATTCGTTATTTTGGTATCTACCAATGGCACTACTCGGCGCAAAAGCGAGTGGCCCACGCGCGAGTGGCCCACGCGCGAGTGGCCCACGCGCGAGATAGAAGCATTATGGAAAAACTGAGGTGTCATCTCTCTTTTATTTCATCTCAGTGATTCACTCGACAAACTAAACATATTTTGCCCTCAAGATCAGTTCAATTTTGTCCCTTTCACAGGTCACGCAAAGTAGAATTTTGAGATTCCTACCAAAAAATTGTACCGAGAAATAAGAGAATTCCCAAACTCCTTACGTTCGCCAGTTCGTGTGTTTGTTTATTTTGTGGAAATTAAAGGAAATAGGAACGATCATTATATTGTCTGGGGTCCCCAATATCAATGTCTCATTTTAAGACGTTCTTGTAATTAAAACATCCGTACGGATCTTCTGTTGTAGAGCGTTTTCAAGGATTGATATTTCCAGTATTTTTAGGTTTACGTTTTGTTTAATTAAGTCTCGCCTTTTCGCCCCTACGTGCTATCTTGATGAATCTATAGTTTTGATTATTTATTTTTAGTGTGTGATTGAACTTGGCTTAGCACCTACCGTGCTAGACATTTCAATCCCTTGTTGTGGTTGAGGATAACTAGTTTGCTAGGTGGTCATGTTTGGGTTGGTAAAACTGACCTTGAGTTTTACCCACACTGAACATCCTGTTTTGGAAATTTCCACGATCAGCTAACCTAAACATGTCTGTGATTTTTGTATTTAATACTGGGGCACTCCTTGCTGAAAGTAGTAGAAATAAGCAGTGGAGAAACAGAGAGAAAATTAGCTGTAGTAGAAGCAGCAGTATAGGAGAATAAAGAAGAAAATTACAGAGTCTCAGTACCTCTTGTTAATTCGCCAAGCGAGTGGTAAAACCCCCACAACACTTCCATTCTACTATGAATACTACTTAAAACTAACACATTTGATACTGAGCTATGGAAGATGGCGACTAGTACAATTAGAAAGTATGGGACTTTAGTTTATTACGGTTAAACTTAGCTGAAAACGCCATGCATCTTTATTCCTTACAGATTTCGTGATGAAGCGGTAAAAGCTTGAACGAAACTTGATAAAAGGTCTCTATACTGATGAAGGCAATTTAGCGGGTTGGATTCACCGTTGAAGGTAAGTTCTCAACATTCTGATTATTACAAATAGTGGTCTTACATGTCTGGAGTGTCATTCGGTGGAAATATTTCTCAGTCTACATTGATGGCAGAGCGCATGCTCAAATTCCTCTAATGTATATTTATGTTGTCTAATTAGTAATTTGGCTTAGAACCAAAGTTAAACTTGAACAGAATCTTCCATGTTTTTAATCGGCTTATGGTGCCATTGTATTAGAAGTAAAACATCATACCATAGTCAGTTTAACGGAAAGAAGCGACCGCCATTTTCTGCTCTTTTTTTTATACCTTGTTGCACCAATAACATCATACACAATTGTCGTTCTTAAGGCTTAGACGGCGTTAACAAGTTTTCAAACTACAAAATTTAGGCAAACATGAACTCGTTGTAAAGAAAAATGACCTGGTGATTTTCGAGTTGCTCTACTGAGATGAGGAAGAATCCAAGAAATGAGCCTTTCCCTGACATATAGTATTGCCAGTGGCTGTTGGCTTGACGGTAATTGTGTCTTTCGCGCGCAAATAAG